TGGAATTCGATATGTCAGGGCAAATATTCCCCCTTAGCACACTGTATGATATGTCCGTCTTCATTAGCCCAGTCGGAGCAGAAAAAAATAGGAAATGAAATGAAATGAAATGAAATGGGGTTTAACGTCCTACTGTTCTGCTCCTATACTGGGTTAATGAAGACGGGCATACGCCATACAGTGTGCTATGAGGGAAATTTTGCCCGGGCAGCGGCACCATCGCCTACTCTTATATCGAATTCCAACTGCCAAGGGATTTTTTACGTGCATTCCAATGTATACACGGGACCTCGGTTTTTCGTTTCATCCGAAGGACTAGACAGCTGTCCTTGTCAGGCCCTCTGTTCTGCACCACTGACAAGGGGAAACCACGTCGGAAAATCTGGATGAACTTTCTCGGCTAATGCAGGGATCGAACATCCGAAAAAAAAAAATAGGACGTTAAACCTCATTTCATTTCATTATTAATTATTTAATGTAACCAGAGAAGAATTCTTTTGTTTTTGGCTTGGATAAAAAGGACTTGTTTTTAAAATTTTGACAAAGGGAGAAAATAAATCCCCGTTTTCATTGTTGTCTCCTGGATCTGGGATACTGAGTCAACGGCGTTTAATGTAAAGTTGCGACCACGTGGCTTTTTGTGACGATGATGAAATCCAGCTATTAATAGATTTTATCACATGACCAGTCTAGACAGAGTTAAGGTTCTTTAAAGAAGGGGAGATAATTTATTTTTACACGTCAGTTTTGTAAAGTTTTGTTTGTTTATCACGTTTCAAAGGCAAATAATAACACTTTGAGAATCTCGAAACGTATGTTTGAAGTTGTAAGTCTGATTTTGATACCTAAGCCTATCTTGATAAACAAAGAAATTAGGGACTACACAAGCCAGTAAACTGCTCGCACATCGGCATAATAAATAAATAATTAATTTAAAAAAATAAGCAAACCTATTATTACTGATTACAGCCCCCTTGATAATTTGATTACATACCAATATCCCAGCTAGTACCACCTTGATTACATCAAATACCCCAGTTAGTATCCACCTTGATTACATCAGTGTCCAAGATGGCAAGAAATCCCCCCACCCTCCCTTGATTAAATCAATATCCCAGCTACTGTATCCACCTTGATTCCACATCAATATCCCAGTTATTAACACCTTGATTACATCAATATCCCAGTTATATCCCAGTTAGTATACACCTTGATTACACATCAATGTTAGTATCCACCTTGATTACAGTGCCCTAGGCACCCCGCCCTCGATTACAGTAACGCCTTAGTTAGGCTATAATCCCTGCCCAGTCTTTGATTACGACTAACATTTAAAAATAGGAAAAAAAAAATGGTTTTAATTTATTACAGAGTATAATTATACCGATATATAATGGAGAAAAATGGTTTTTATTTTTATATAGGAGCCATGATGGCTAAGTGGGTATGACACTGGCTCACTAGCCTAGAGGTCGTGTGTTTGATCCCTGCATTGGCCGAAGAAGTTCATCGGGATTTTCCAACGGGGTTTCCCCTTCTCAGTGGTGCAGGACGGAGGGCCTGGCAAGGACAGCTGTCTAGTCTTTTGGATGGAACAAAAAACTGAGGCCCTTTGTTTCCATTGATGTGCACGTTAAAGATCCCTTGGCAGTTGGAATTCGATATAAGAGTAGGCCATGAGTGCTGTTGCCAGGGGCAAATTACCCACATTGCACACTGTATGTTGTATGCCCGTCTTCATTAGCCTAGTCGGAGCAGATCAGATGTTCAACCCCATTTCATTTCATTTCCTTTTTTTATTTTTATAGAGTATAATTATACCAGTGTATAATGGAGAAAAATGGCTGGACAAATGTCTACAGTCTCTTTTTATCCAGTCTTACAATAAACCAATGGAGTTGTCACTCTACAATGATGGAAGCACTGTAAGTGATCAGTTTTTAATTTTATATTGAATCACAATCCACGACAGGTAGATGGCAGAATTAATTTTTATTCATCAAAATTTACCTCATATAGCACACAGTATGGCATATGCCTGTCTTCATTAGCTGCTGCTCAGTTTGGAGAAGAACAGTAGGACGTTAAACCCCATTTTATTTTATTTCATTTCATTTTATGATCGTGGGGTTAGGTGGGGTTGGTTGGTCTCTTGATGTGTGGTCTGACATGTATTCATTTAGATAATAAGGTTCTCATAAACAGTGATTGAAAATTGACTAAATTCTTAACTTAAGTCTGATAATGGTTTGTGAACTTAGGGCCAGATCCGCAAATTTCCTCCCACTTTTAAAGATCACCTGTTAGTCCTGTAATTACCCAATCTGATTAGAATACAGATCTATATTTTGTTTCATTTCTTTATACTTTCGAAGGCCTCTACTACATGGGGGATCACGTGGTTAAGTTGGTAAGATGCTGGCTCGCTAGCCTGGAGGTCAGGCCCCGAGTTCACAAAGCATTCTCAGACTTAAGTTAAGAATTTACTCAAAAATGTTTGCCTTATTCTAACTAAAATATAGCTCTTTATAAAACTATTGTTGTCTTAATGTATCAAACACCTCAAAAAGAAACTATGTGCAAAGTTTTGTGTTTTTGGATCAAAGATATTTCTCGTAAACAGTGATTGAAAGTTGAGTAAATTCTTAACTTAAGTCTGAGAATGCTTTGTGAACTCGGGGCCTGGTGTTCGATCCCTGCATTGGCCGAGAAAGTTCATTCAGATTTTCCGGCGTGGTTTCCCCTTGTCAGTGATGCAGGATGGAGGGCCTGACAAGGACAGCTGTCTAGTCGTTCAGATGGGATGAAAAACCGAGGTCCCGTCACACATTGGTGTGCACGTAAAAGATCCCTTGGCAGTTGGAATTCGATATAAGAGTAGGCCGTAGAGCCGCTGTCCGGGCAAAATTTCCCTCATAGCACACTGTATGGCGTATCCCCGTCTTCATTAGCCCAGGTGCAGAACAGTAGGACGTTAAACCCCATTTCATTTCATTTCGCCTCTACTACATGAAGATCTGATCTGTTGTAGTAAAAGGTCATGTCAAAGATCGTACGAAAGGCTTTTCACTCTATGATGTCAGACATAGATTAATCAATCATTGTTGACATTTCTAGTGGTATACCCACAGTTCTATGCATTGCACGCCAAGAAGTCGCTGTAACAGATGGTTTCATTAGCTAATCCCTCACGCCATTCAGAACGCAGGTTATATAACAACTCTTCCAGATTCTAGTGTAGTAAAGACAAGTAAAACGATATTTTGAAGTATAAAAAAACGAAATGAAATAGGATCTGTGTTTTAACCAGATAGGTAATTACCTAGTTTGTGACGAGTAAACGTTAAATCTCCATTTCTCTCTTTTATGTTCAGGATACCACCATGACTATTTTAGATGACTGGCGTGTAAGACTGGAAGGAAGAGATATACATGTTATTGTGTCTGGACACACAGGACAACCAAGAGGAGGTATGTGAAATTTTACAGTAAGGCAGCATCCATTCCTGGATCAACAGGACACAATTCCTGGATCAACAGGACACAATTCCTAGATAAACAGGACACGATTCCTGGATAAACAGGCAGCATCCATTCCTGGATAAACAGGACACAATTCCTGGATAAATAGGAAGCATCCTTTCCTGGATAAACAGGACACAATTCCTGGATAAACAAGACACAATTCTATCATTTGACACAATATCTCAATAAAAGGTATGACTGCACCTCTTGCTGTGGGGGGATGGTGGTCGGGGGGGATCCTATGTTCGATCCCTGGGTTGACCGAGATAGTTCATCTGGATTTTCCGTCGTGGTACTGAAACACTGCCTGATAAGGTCACGAGGTGATCTTAGTTTGGCTTTTCAATCGACAATTCCAACCTCATGGGTATTCTCTGCGGTTCTCCACTTTCCTCCTCCTGTTAATGAACCAAACGCATAAGTGAATTATTAAAATGAAATTGAACCATATGTTAGTCCCGAAATGATTCTCTCTCTCATTAAATGATTATAAAACTTTATTTCTAGTTGGATTTGCCAAGAATACAGCTGTTCGACAGAGTAGTGGTAAATATCTGTGTTTTCTTGATGCCGTAAGTTTTACTGTTCAGTCTTATATATCCTGTCACATTAACTAGTCTTGATCAGTCCAGGTCTCTCAATCCAGTTGTAATTGTATTGATCGGGCCAGGACTCTCACCTTGACTTAATAGTGAGAGAGAGAGATATGGGGTTTAATGTCCGGACAGCGGCACTACAGCCTACTCTATATCCAATTCCAACTTTTCGTGCACGCCAATGTGTACACGGGGACCTCGTTGTTTTTTGGTCCCTTCCGAACGACTAGACAACTGTTTATTTGTTCATTTCATTTCATTTTTATACGCCCACATCGAAATGTGGACGTATATTGCCGTCGCCCCCGTCCGTCCATCGTCCTCAATTTCTTGTGAACGCTCTAACGCCAAAAGTTATCATCCAGTTGTTTTAAAATTGATATATGTTGTGTACATTAGTTACATGAAGAAGCCTATTTAATTTTAATAATTTCCGTTTAATACGTCTAGAGTTCAGGCCCTTATTTCACTTTGTTAAACCTTGTGAACGCTCTAATGCCAAAAGTTAACATCCAATTTTTGTGAAATTTATATGCAGTATTTAAATTAGGGAAACGAAGAAGCCTATTGAATTTCAGCAATTTCCGTTTATTACTTCTAGAGTTATGTCCCTTGTTTCACTTTGTTTAACCTTGTGAACACTCTAACCCCAAAAGTTATCATCTTATCTTTCTGAAATTTATATGAATTATTTAAATTAGTGAAAGGAAGAAGCCTATTGAATTTCAGCAATTTCTGTTTATTACGTCTAGAGTTCTGGCCCTTGTTTCACTTTATTCAATGTTGTGAAATTTATATGCATGATTTAAATGAGTGAAACGAAGAAGCCTATTTAATTTCAATAATATCTGTTCATTACGTCTAGAGTTACGTCTGCGCTGTATCATATGGGGTTGTATGTGACAAGAAGTAGGGTCGCCTGTCCAACCTCGTGGGTTTTCTCCGGGTCCTCCGTTTTCCTCCGACTGCTAAAGACCCCTACGCGCAAGCGAATTATTGAAATAAAATTGTTAGTCCCGAAATTACCTAGTTTGTGTCGAGTGGACGTTAAACCACATTTCTCTCTCTCTCTCTCTCTAGAGTTATTGGCCTTGTTTCACTTTGTTCAACCTTGTTAATGCTCGATTGATGAAAGTTATCATCTGATATGTATGAAATTTATATGCATCATTTAAATTTGTGAAACAGAGGACTATTGAATTTCAGCAATTTCTGTCAATAATTTCTAGAGTTATGGCGGTTGTGAACCTTGTGAGCGTTTGAATGACAAAAGTGATCATGTGATCTGTATGAAATTTATATGCATTATTTAAATTAGTAAAGCTAAAAAGCCTGTCAAATTTCAACAATTTTTGTAGATTATTTCCGGAGTTGAGACCCTTGTTTCAGTTTGTAGAACCTTGTGAACCCTCAAATGGCAAAAATTATAATCTGATCTGTATGGAACTGTCTTGTAAAGGCCTCCAATTACCTACAAAGGAATAAATATGTGACAACCCTTGTCGACCACTCGGACGATTTAGCTGTTGTAGGCGTATGTTTCGTTGCCTGGCAACCTATCTTTTTTTCAGGATGATGAGATGAGTGAGAGAAGAATAGATAAACAACTGGAAGCCGCTAAATCATCATCTAATGCTGTAAGATTTATAATATAAATATAACAAAAGATTTATATTAAAAAATATAACAAAAGATTTAAATCATCTTCTAAAACTGTAAGATTTATAACTAAAACATCATCTAAAGCTAAGATTTATAATAAAATTATAACTAAATCATCATCTGTAGGAGCTGTAGGACTTATAATAAAAATATAACTAAAACATCATCTGTAGGAGCTGTAGGACTTATAATAAAAATATAACTAAAACATCATCTAAAACTAAGATTTATAATAAAAAATACAACTAAATCATCAACTCAGGCTGTAAGATTTACCTATGGGCTTGGTGGGCTGAAGATCATGGCGTGTATATGTTTGAAACTGTCAGATACAGAGTCTTAAATATCTGTCATCAACCTCGGCTTTGTTCAGTTGTGTTTAAAAAACAAGTGCACCATCTACATTATCTTAACTCAACAAACCATTTGATTGGCTAATCCCTCATATCATCCAGAATGCAGGTTATATAACAACTCTTCCAGATCCTAGTGTAGTAAAGACAAGTAAAACAAAATTTTGAACTATAAAAAACAAAACGAAATAGGATCATGTGTTTTAATCAGATTGAGCGTAACATTCAATATAATTGATTCTTTCTTGTAGTTGATTGGTTGTAAGTTTCATCGTGTACCTGAAGATTCTACGATCAGATTTACCAAATGGGCCAATAATTTAACACCACATCAACTGTATACACAGGTTACTCTTCTTTATAATCTTATAAAATATATTACGTCAAACAAATGAAATGAAATGGGGTTTAACGTCCTACTGCTCATATACTGGGCTAATGAAGATGGACATACGCCATACAGTGTGCTATGAGTAAAATTTTGCCCGGGCAGTGACACTATGGCCTACTCTTATATCAAATTCCTACTGCCAAGGGATCTTTTACATACATGCCAATGTATACACGGGACCTCGATTTTTTGTCCCATCCAAACGACTAGACAGCTGTCTTTGTCAGGAGCTCTGTTCTGCACCACTGACAAGGGGGTATGCGAAACAGGAAGGGTGGGGGGGTTGGATGGCCGAATGTTTAGTGCATGCACGTTGTATCATAAGGTCTGTCATTGAGTCAACTGACATGGTTTTGATTCCCTGGTTGTACGTGCGTATTGTATCGTTGAATCAACTGGCGTGGTTTCGATTCCCCGGTTGCACGTGACAAGGAGCAGGGTAGACAGTCCAACCTCATGGGTTTTCTCCGGGTCCTCCGGTTTCCTCCCACTACTAAAGAGCCCTACGTGCAAGCGAATTATTGAAATAAAGGTCTGTCATTGAGTCAACTGGCATGGTTTCAATTCCTTGGTTGTAAGTGACAAGGAGTAGGGAGGGTCGCCTGTTCAGCCTTGTGGGTTTTCTCTGGGTCCTCTGGTTTCCTCCAACTGCTAAAATTGAACCATATGTTAGTCCGAAAATGACTTAGCTTGTGTTAAACCCCATTTCTCTCTCTCTCTCAAATTTTAAACTCAAATGATCAACTGAAATATTTGGATCATCTACAGATGTATACATCACATGGTCCAACGGTTGTCATGCCAACATGGTTTTGTAAACGAGGTGTGTTTGATCGTGTTGGAGGGTTTGATGAAGGAGGAAAGGTAAGGAACATGGTATCGGGTTGGGTGGTTGAATGGTCTAACAACCATTGACTGTAGCAACTTGATGAAGAATAGGCAAAAACAAAAAACTCTGCTGCCTGGGCATTATTCTCCTCCCTAGCATTGCAAATGTAACCATAGAAACACCCAAAATAACCATATGTTAATTTTAAAATGACCAAAGCATTATTTTTATGAGGTATTAAACCCCATTTCAGACTCCAATATACACAGGGGGTTGGATGGCCGATTGGTTAGCGTGTGCATGATGTATCACTGTCTAGTCATACGGATTGAACGGAAAACCAAGGTCCCATGTACACATTGGCGTGCACATAAAAGATTCCTTGACAGTTGGAATACGATGTAATAGTAGGCCGTAGTGCCGCTGTCCGGGCAAAATTTCCCTCATAGCACACTGTATGGCGTATGCTCGTCTTCATTAGCCCAATTCGGAGCAGAACAGTACTGTGGTAAACCCCATTTCATTTCATTTCATAACGTCTCTCATTGAATCAACTGGCGTGGTTTCGATTCCCCGGTTGTATGTGACAATGAGAAGGGTCGTCTGTCCAACCTCGTAGGTTTTCTCACTGCTAAAGACCCCTACGAGCAAGTGAATTATTGAAATAAAATTAAACCATATGTTAGTCCCGAAATGACCTAGTCTGTGTCGAGTGGACGTTAAACCCCATTTCTCTCTCTCTCTCCTATTTTTATAACAATGACCAAGAGCCTGGTTTTGTGAAGCAGCTCGCATATGTACTGAAAGGATGTTAGAATTAAAATTATATTTTAACTATTTGTAGGGTGTACCGGAAGATTTGATATTTTTTTATCGTCATGTAGAAATGGGCGGTGAAGTTTATCGTGTGGATGATGATTTGATGTTGTACAGATATCATCCAGATGCAGCAACATTCTCAATAAAACAGTAAGTCACAACATTTTCAATAAAACAGTATGTCACAACATTCTCAATAAAACAGTAAGTCACAACATTTTCAATAGAACAGTATGTCACAACATTCTCAATAAAACAGTAAGTCACAACATTCTCAATAAAACAGTAAGTCACAACATTTTCAATAAAACAGTAAGTCACAACATTTTCAATAAAACAGTAAGTCACAACATTCTCAATAGAACAGTATGTCACAACATTCTCAATAAAACAGTATGTCACAACATTTTCAGTAGAACAATATGTCACAACATTCTCAAAAAAACCAATAGGTCACAACATTCTCAATAGTGAATAAAACAGTTAGTTAGCAAATCCGCACATCCAACGCCCTTAACCCAATAAGCCCATATTTAACAAGCAAGCTTAGAATGTCAAACACGCCCATGTTGGACAAGCAAGGGTAGACGACCCAATTTGCCCATGTTGCCCAAGCTGGGCATAGAAATTGATTTTATTTGTGTAGAATTTTGAACAAATCATCTCCCTTAACCCAATACATGTATTCCCATGTTTCCGATGCATAATTATTAACTCTAAGCACTGACCTTTGCTGTTAGAACAGTTTGGCTTAACGTCCTAATGTCCATACTCTGTGCCACATCAGTACCTTGAAATTTGTTTTATCCTGGTAATTGATACCATCAGTGTTGGGATTTCAAAATTTTTCTTGTTGGACATTTTAACCGAAATAAAGGGACATAACTCTTATCGTTATTTGAGCAGGCGGTTTCAGACCACACACAAAAATCATGTGTCAACAAAATAGTCAAATTCAGAGTAATAAAAGATGGGTGCACCTCGTTATTTTCCAAATTTAATTCCCGTGTGATATTCAAATTTATGTCAGTAATATTCCGACTTACCTTCATATTCTTGTCTTATTTTAGGGAAACAATTTGGAAGATAAGAATTGATTTCCTAGAAAAACAAATTCTAAGTCATTGGCCAGAATTCACTATCTGGAATGCTGGAAAACAAGGGAGGCGATTCTTCCGATCTCTGACGGACATCAACCAAAAAAAGGTAAACATAATGTTCTTTTAAAACTTCAGTATGGCAGACGGACAATAATCATTTTCTTTAATTACTTTTTTTTCTAAACCCAGCCAGAAGTTCACAAAGCATTCTCAGACTTAAGAATTTACTTAAAATTATTCGCCTTATTTTATCTAAAAGATAGCCCTTTATAAAACGTTTGTCGTTTTAATGTATCAAATACAACTATGGAAAACTATGTGCAAAGTTTTGTGTTTCTGGATCAAAGATATTTCTCATAAGCAGTGATTGGAAGTTGAGTAAATTCTTACCTTAAATCTTAGAATGCTTTGTGAACTTAGGGCCTGGTCTAATGAAGACAGGCATACACCATGGAAATTTCTGCCTACACTAAAGCAAATTTCAACTGCCAACAATCTGATTAAAACACCGATCCTATTTCGTTTCGTTTTTTTTATAGTTCAAAATTTCGTTTTACTTGTCTGTACTACACTAGGATCTAAAAGAGTTGTTATATAACCCGCAATCTGGGTGATGTGAGGGATTAGCCAATGAGGCGGTCGGTTGCAGAAGCGAGGTTTTGCATGCTATGCACCGAACTGTGGGTATCCTACTAGAAACATCGATGGTGATTGGTTGATAAAATGTCTGACATCATAGGGTTAAAAGCCGCTCGTATGACCCCTGCCAAGGGCTCTTTTTTGTGTGCATCAATGTATTCATGGGACCTCGGTTGTGTTCTCATCCAAACGATTAAAACAGAATAGTCCTTCGTATGTTACGGAAGACCACAGGTATCTTGACTGTTGGAATTCCATGAACAGTCTGGGAAACGCCACTGTCCAGGCACACTGTATGGTGTATCTCGATCATAAGCTCAGTTTGTGCCGAAAAGTAGGACGTTAAACCCCATTTTAGTTGTTTGAATCCCAAGAGGCTTTGTAATAATTTTATTTTTAAGGTTTGTGCTTTTTGTGATGTTGATGAGAAAAAGATCAAGAAGGCTGTTTATATTTATGAATACTCAAAGGTGAGCAGTTTCAATCAACTTCACGATACTAGGATTGGCCAGATGTCTCCTCCCTTCCATGAGATACATGGGACAGGTACCACCCTCCTTCCATGAGATACATAGGACTGGGACAGATGTCTCCCCCCTTCCATAAGATACATGGGACAGGTACCATCCGCCTTCCATGAGATACATGGGACAGGCACCACCCTCCTTCCATGAGATACATAGGACTGGGACAGATGTCTCCCCCCTTCCATAAGATACATGGGACAGGTACCATCCGCTTTCCATGCGATACTTGGGACAGGGACCACCTCCCTTCCATGAGATACATAGGACTGGGACAGATGTCTCCCTCCTTCCATGAGATACATAGGACTGGGACAGATGTCTCCCCACTTCCATAAGATACATGGGACAGGTACCATCCGCCTTCCATGAGATACATAGGACTGGGACAGATTCAAACCCACCTCCCCATGAGATACATGGGACTGGGACAGATGTCATCTCTCTTCCTTGATATACATAGGACTGGGACAGATGTCTTCTCCCTTCCATGAGATACATTGAACAGATGTCTTCTCCCTTCCATGAGATACATGGAACAGATGTCTCCTCCCTTCCATGAGATACATAGGACATATACTACCTCCCTTCCATGAGATACATGGGACAGGTACCACCCTCCTTTTATGTGATACATGGGACAAGGACCACCTCCCTTCCATGAGATACATAAGAATGGGACAGATGTCTCCTCTCTTCCTAGAGATACATAGGACTGGGACAGATCCCATACCCTTCCATGGGATACATTGGACAGTTACCACCTTCCATCCATCAGATGCCTCACCACCCATGCTGTTTCTCTATTTGTAACAGTGAATGTCATCAGTTGTTGTTTTTACTTACAGGAGAAATACAAGCCAAGGATTCCAATCATACATTACAGTCAAGCTAAACCACCTATTGTAATCTGTATCAAACTAGTAAGTCAGGTTAAACCACCTATTGTAATCTGTATCAAACTAGTAAGTCGGGCTAAACCACCTATTGTAATCTGTATCAAACTAGTAAGTCAGGTTAAACCACCTATTGTAATCTGTATCAAACTAGTAAGTCGGGCTAAACCACCTATTGTAATCTGTATCAAACTAGTAAGTCAGGTTAAACCACCTATTGTAATCTGTATCAAACTAGTAAGTCGGGCTAAACCACCTATTGTAATCTGTATCAAACTAGTAAGTCAGGTTAAACCACCTATTGTAATCTGTATCAAACTAGTAAGTCAGGTTAAACCACCTATTGTAATCTGTATCAAACTAGTAAGTCGGGCTAAACCACCTATTGTAATCTGTATCAAACTAGTAAGTCAGGTTAAACCACCTATTGTAATCTGTATCAAACTAGTAAGTCAGGTTAAACCACCTATTGTAATCTGTATCAAACTAGTAAGTCAGGTTAAACCACCTATTGTAATCTGTATCAAACTAGTAAGTCAGGTTAAACCACCTATTGTAATCTGTATCCCAGTGTTGGCTGAGAAAGTTCCCCAGGATTCTCCGGCTTGGTTTCCCCTTGTCAGTGGTGCAGGATGGACGGCCTGGCCTAGAACTGTCTAAGTGTTTGGATGGGACAAAAATCCAAGGTCCTCTTTACACATTGGATTGCAAAATGTAAATGAACCATTAACTGTTGGAAGTTGATGAAGCTTAGACTCAAACAATGCTGTCCGGGCAAAATTTATGCACACAACATGGAGTACATCTGGGTTCATTAGCCTGGTTGTATTCAGTTACATAATTTTAAATATTGTTTCTGTATTGATAGGATTTGACGTCTGGTGTATTTGAGGAAAATCTGAGAAGTTTGAATCTTGAGGAGGGAAAAGATTTCATCCATTTCAACTGATGACAGACTGGCTGGTATCAAGAGTGAATCCAAGTCAATCCCTGTATATCCTGCCGGCAATTCTAAGATGGAGCCGACCCCGTGTAGGATGAGATTTATGTGGCCTGGGCAGTGACTCTATTAGGGGTAGCCCGACTTTTGTAGCAAGCTTGTAAAAACCCTCTGACCAGTAGAATGTTTACAAGGTTTTGTATGTAGGCTACAAAAAAGTTTGAATTCAGTAAACTGACCGATATTATGGAAGAAAATGGTGGCCTGACAACGGTAACATCGATAGGCACTGGATGTCCCATGCTAACAACTAGTCTTGGACCCCTGCAAGCGTCAACCATGACAAGGGAATCAGTCTTAAAAAATGACGAAGGCTTCGTCCAAGGTCCTACAAGATTTTGATTTGAGTGTCCAAACTATTACAACTGGAGATAATTTAATATAGAACAGTAGCGGTTCCCCCATAAAAATAAAGATACTTTTTCTGATTCACAACTCAACTTACAAATCTCAAAGGTTCATTGATGGAATTATTGATTGAAGATGAAGGCCTGCTGATCTACTGGTTCAGTTATTATAGTAAATTCTAATAAAACACTGAATTTAACTTGTGTGAATATTTTTAGTACAATTGATCCAATGTAGGTTGGGAGGGGGGTGTTTAAGTTGTCTAATGCATATACTTCTGATCATATGGTCTGCCATTAGGGGGATCACATTGGCCGAGAAAGTACATTCAGATTTTCCGGCGTGGTTTCCCCTTGTCAGTGATGCAGGATGGAGGGTCTGACAACGACAGCTGTCTAGTCATTCAGATGGGATGAAAAACCGAGGTCTCGTGTACACATTGCCTTGGCAGTTGGAATTTGATATAAGAGTAGACAGTAGCGCTGGGGCAAAATTTCCCTCATAGCACACTGTATGGCGTATGCCCGTCTTCATTATCCCAGTTTAGGAGCAGAACAGTAGGGCGTTAAACTCCATTTCATTTCACTTGTCTGCCATTAAATTAAGTTGAGTGGTTTAGATCCCAAGCTTGTCTGTGCGATTGAGTAGGGTCGCCTGCCCAATATCACGGTAGGCCCAGGGATTTTTTCAGTAACAAATTATGTTAATGATTTTGGGGACCCATTTCAACAATTATTCCACTCTGAAACTTAAATTGGATTTAACGTCCTACTCCGACTGGGCTAATATACACGCCATTCTGTGTGCTACCATTGAGGCATACAAAGGTGTAGGATGATCAATACGGAGTCTTGTTCAAATTGGGACAAATTACAAAATAATACTGGGATCCATGTTGGACTTTTGTCCATGTAACAGAGAAATGAAGTTTAACGTCCACTTGACACATACTAGGTCATTTCGGGACTAACATGGTTCAATGGGGGGAAACCGGAGGATCCTGAGAAAAACCACAAGCTTGGACAGGTGAACTCACTGCTTGTCACGTTCAACCATGGAATCAAAACCACGCCAGTTGACTCAATGACAGAACTTATGATAGTGCACGTGTTAACTATTTCGACCATCCACCCCCCCACAAATCACGTTATGAACAAGGATTGTACGTCAACCTCCAATAATTCACTTTTTACCATACATAATATGGAAAATGATAGAATGGAGATTAACATGCCACAAGAGAGAGAGAGAAATGGGGTTTAACGTCCACTCGACACAAACTAGGTCATTTCGGGACTAACATATCGTTTAATTTTATTTCAATAATTCGCTTGCGCGTAGGGGTCTTTAGCAGTGGGAGGAAACTGGAGGACCCGGAGAAAACCCACATCAATAACATCGGCGGCGGCGACCAATTGGGGGGAAAGGAAAACAAAAATACTTAAAAATGGTAGTGATCCCCATCGTAATTTACTCGGAAACGAGCCGGTTGGTGTCTTGGTTGATTGTCGGTCAGTCTGCCCAACGAAGGGCCGGGCGTCGCACTTCCAAGTGGTTTGGATTTTAGCGCAATACAAGACTCATTATTATTATTATTATATAAAAACAATAAGTTTGATGAGGATTTGAAAAGCTCATTTTATTGATAGAACTTGATTCATGTACAGTATGCAGGTAAATTTAACCATTTACAGTATTTAGGTATATTTAACAGTTATTAACTGTATATCTACCTTTACTGGATATTGTCCAGGTAAAAATAGAACAGGTACATCTACCTTTACAGATATTTATTAACTCAAATAGAATAGGTAATATTTATCTAATTCTACTGATATTATCCAGTTGAACATACATGTAGAACAGATAAATATATAATATCTACCTTTGCACATATTATCCAGGTAAGAATAGAGCCGGTGTATCTACCTTTTACATATTTCAAGGTAACCAGAACAGGTAAATAGATCTACCTTTGTGCATATTATCCAAATAAAAATAGAACAGGTATATCTATCTTTACACATATTGTCAAGGTAACCAGAACAGGTAAATATATCTACCTTTGCGCACATTATCTAGGTAAAAATAGAACAGGTATATCTATCTTTACAGATATTGTCAAGGTAACCAGAACAGGTAAATATATCTACCTTTGCGCACATTATCCAGATAAAAACAGAACAGGTATATCGATCTACCTTTACAAATGTACATTGTATAATTATTTATGATTTTTGTTCTTAACTGAACAACTTCTGTATTACTATCTACAAGTTTTCCTCAAGACTTTTAATGTTCCAAAACCCATCTGGAGATATACAAATGATTATACATGTATTATGTAAATGAAATGGGGGTATAATGTTGTCCTACCGTTCAGCAACGACTGGATTAATAGAGGATATAATTCCTTGTTACATATTATAAACCTCTTTATCAACAAGATTTTTAATGTTCAACTTCAAAGATGTACGTTATACAATATATTATAACCCTGCATCCAGACATTAAGATCATTTGAAGATATAATTCTTTTGTAATACATATTAAAAGCCTCTGTTCCAAACCTAACTTAAGATATGATGTACCTAATACATATATTACAAGCTGAGTTTTATACTACCATCATTATTATTGTATATATACTCCTGGTAGAACTACCATCAAGTTATATTGTATATACTCCTAGTTGTACTACCATCAAGTTATATCATTATTGTATATACTCATGTTGTACTACCATCATTATTATTGTATATATACTCCTGGTAGTACTACCATCAAGTTATATTGTATATACTCCTAGTTGTACAACCATCAAGTTATATCATTATTGTATATACTCATGTTGTACTACCATCATTATTATTGTATATATACTCCTGGTAGTACTACCATCAAGTTATATTGTATATACTCATGTGGTACTACCATCAAGTTATATTGTATATACTCATGTGGTACTACCATCAAGTTATATCATTGTATATACTCATGGTCGTACTACCATTAAGTTATATGAATAGTTTTAACACCATCATTTGATGCTAACAATTTGATAGCCATATTTTCACATCTCAAATTATTTTTTAAAACAAAGTTTATTGCAAAATTAAAATGTAATGAAGTAGTGAGAAAAATATTTCCTTGAATTCCACAGGTATATATTCTTCCAAAATGTATTTTTTTTTTTTACCAGATTTTTCGTAAGCTCCTTCTCCCATGTTGGTATACATTATTTCTTAGAAGAAAAAGAAAATCTAAGAACTATAAATAGGTGTAGTTTTGAATAAAATAAAGACCATATCAGTTCTGAAAGTTTCAGAATTTAGTCATTTATCTTATCTTACCTGGAGATATATCCGAGCAAAAAGAAGAATATATACCTCTACAAATTCCATACCACATCTGATTAAAATACAAATCTATATTTTGTTTTTTTTGTTTTAGACTTTCGATGGCCTACACTACATTAAGATCTGTCCGGTTGTAGTGGGAGGTCGTGTCATAGGTCTACAAACAGCTCTTGACCCCATGACGTCAGACATCGATTAATCAGCACTGTCGTTTCTAGTGGTTTACCCACAGTTCCATGCATCGCATGCCAAGAAGTCGTAACAGACCGTTTCTTTGGCTAATCCATCACATCAACCATAATGCGGGTTATATAACAACTCTTCCAGATCCTAGTGTAGTAAAGACAAGTAAAGCGAAGTTTTGAACTATAAAAAACAAAACAAAATAGGATCTGTGTTTTAATCAGAATGTCAGTGGTAATTAACACCTCACGATTACATCATACAAACTCTTTACTGATATCATACATGTAATAATTAAAATGGAAAGTAACCTATTTAGAACTAGCAGAGTATTTTTCAATTATCTGATCAAGCATTTAATGGGTAAGTTGTGCACAAAAGTCGACTAAATCAAATTCATAAAGCATGTCAGCTAAAACCAATCAAAATTAAACAATCACTTCACTTCTTTTTGTGGATTAGAGAATTATATTTGACTAAACTAAAACTATTATTTCATGTCATACAATGAGTCCATCCTCAGAGCAAAGACAGCCACACCCCCTTAACAACAATATGACCATGCATATTTCTCCGAAGGTTTGTGAAAACTTTTACAGAAAGCCGCATATTCATCTGACGGAAAGTTTTAACATTAATGCCATCTTTTTCATTCTAATAAAAAATGTTTTATCAGAAAACACAAACTTCAAATTTCACAATATCAAACATTTTTAGATTAACAGAGAACATGGATGGACTTTTATGACGTGACGACATGATCTGATCGGTTGACGTCAGGGGTAGGTTATGGCATTTACAGAACGGCACCGGAAAAATGCTTTAAAAATATGTAATAATGAAGCTCGGACATAAGGCATCTGTCACAGACTGTCAAGTACAAATTATCACATAACATATATATATATATATATCAACCAGAACAGAAGGCTGACAAATTATTCCACAACATACGTTGTGTGACAGTTTGTTCGTGACAGAAGGAGAAATGGTGTTTAACGTCCACTCGACACAAACTAGGTATTTTGGAACTAACATATGGTTAAATTTTATTTATATAATTCGCTTGCACGTAGGGGTCTTTAGCAGTGAGAGGAAACCAGAGGACCCAGAGAAAACCCACAAGTTTGGATTGTGTCTGATAAAGCTCATGACAGGTGCCTTAAGTCCAGACTTATATATATCTCTCTCAAATCAAGTACCTGTATCTATATTTATTACATGACCAGAACAATCTATTTACTCGTAGAATAATGTTTGTTGAGTATGAGGTCGACCATACTTGTCCGTCATCCACAAGGTTCGTAGAGAGAGAGAGAAATGGGGTTTAACGTCCACTCGACACAAACTAGGTCATTTCGGGACTAACATATGGTTTAATTTCATTTACATAATTCGCTTGCGCGTAGGGGTCTTTAGCAGTGGGAGGAAACCGGAGGACCCGGAGAAAACCCACTAGGTTGGACAGGCGACCCTACTCCTTGCCACGTACAACCGGGGATTCGAAACCACGCCAGTCGACTCAATGACAGACTTTATGATACAGCGCGCGCATGCTAACCATTCAGCCATCCAACCCCCCCACAAGGTTCGTAAATATGTTATTAATTAACTTTATAATGATTACTGTCTGTGACATCATAATCGGTGACGCAATCAGTCATGGGTACCGTAATTAAACAATAGCTGGTTGACAGTCTTCGATAATTCATCCAAATAAAACGAAATCAATGTTTAGAAAGTTCAAATTTCAAATCTTTTTCTTTTCAAATCATTTTCTGATGAAAACATTGTTCTACCATAGTTACTATGGTAATATAATTAAAACTTAACTTTGGTTGCTAGGCGACCGAATGGGTTCCAGTGGTACACTAAATTTAGCAGCTAGCCGCGAACGTCGTGATTTTCTTGGCGAAGTTCTAGGCGTGTCGGAACGTAGAGAGCTGGTGTCTAACGGGTGACCACGACGAAACAGTAAATTATACGACATTTCACTATCCAGAGTCGTATCGAACGAGCTGTCTCTATCATCCAGTGTTGTATCAGCATCATGTTTAATACTGGATGTCAGAGTATTAGAGAGTTCATCGCTATCATGTGGTGCAGGGTTTTGAAGTGAAGTTGCTAGGAGAGATTTTACCGCAGGCGACAATGGTTTCTTTCTGGTAGCGACACTAGTACTATTATTGTTAATAGTTTCCCACTTTTCGTTTTTAAAGGATGGAGTTGAACGTCCAGAAGTACTGTTGCCATGGGCAGGTGTAGAACGTCCAGAAGTGCTGTTGCCAAGGGCAGGCGTAGAACGTCCCGACCAACTTTCCGATGACAATTTAAATGTTTTATTCACTTCTTCAAGTTGCGTTGGACTAGCTTTCCACCACCCTCCTTTCAACAGTTCTCCAAATTCCGACGATTTTTCGCAGTCACTAGTGCCTTCTGGGACAGCCAGGGTATCCATGGTTACTATGGATCCCTGTTGGATGTCACCAGTATTTGACCTTTCACCTGAATCTGACCTTGGTCCTTGACCGCCGCTGCTTGTCCATAATTTCATCTGAGCGGGACTCAGACTCATTCTCCTAATATTACTAATATCTATGGTAGGACTTCGTGAACTTTGACCTTCAATACCGGCACTAGATGACCTCTGACACAGAGGTCGAGGGCTCAGCGCGCCCTGTAGCAGACGCATCACAGGACTGCTAGAGACATTCTCAATCTTATTTGACCGCTGACCTAATATGGGAACTGGACTGGCCAATTTGTGTATTTTGTACATTGCAGGACTGGTGCTTCGACTGCGAGGTGGTATAGGACTTCCTGGTTTCGTCTCGGGTAGATACTGCGCTGCGAACTGAAGTATCTGTGACGTGGGTGTCTGACAAAGTGGGGTACGTAGAATTTTACGCTCTTCATCAGTTATAACTAAATAATCACGATCTGAAATATGGACAAGATAAATTTATTAAAATCATAAAAAACATGTATTTTAATTGCTTTGTCAATTCATTGCTTTCTACACCTTCGGTCAAAGTTTTTTTTATTACATGCATGCCCAAGTGTAAACTGTAAATGTTACCTTGGTGACTCAAAAATCCTTAGGAACTGTTTTGGTCAACATCTGAATCAACTGGGTATTACTCACTCGGACACCCATAATGATACAGAATCAGACAAATAAACGAAACACACAGAAATGATTCAATTCTATTATGCGTTGGGGTCTTTATCAGTGGGAGGAAACTGGAAAACATGGAGACAACCTGTGAGGTTGGACAGACAACTCTACTCCTTGTCGCGTATAAGCTGGGAATCTAAATTACGCCACTTGATGGATTGCCGGACAAAATGATACCCAAGGTTTTGTGCCTGACAAAGCCTGAATCTGTGCCTGACATTGTCTGTGACAGGTGCCTTATTTCCAGGCTTGTCACCGAGCCACCCAGAGTGATACAGAATTGGAGAGAGAGAGAAATGGGGTTTAACGTCCACTCGACACAAACTAGGTAATTTCGGAACTAACATGGTTCAATTTTATTTCAATAATTTGCTTGCAAGTAGTAGGGGGTCTTTTGCAGTGGGAGGAAACTGGAGGACCTGGAGAAAACTCACAAGGTTGGACAGGAGACCCTACTCCTAGTCACATACAACCGGAGAATAGAAACCACGCCAGTTGACTCAATGACATTTTATGATACAGCGAGCACGCGCTAACCATTCGTACATCCCCCCCCACCCAACCCCGATACAGAATTGAACAAACAAGAGAAATAGAAACTGACCTGGTGATGAAGATGTAAATGACATAAGATCTGGTAGACCTCGACTAGCTGGACGTAATTCTGGTGAAGGAATATTGGACGGTATACCATTACATAATAAATCTAACGGAGAACAAACAACTCTATCATCAGTATTCATTAAATACTCTTCTTCTGAAATACACAATAGGTTAAAGGTCAAACAATCGGATTAAAACACAGATCCTATTTCGTTTCGTTTTTTAGAGTTCCAAATTTGGTTCTACTTGTCTCTACTACACTAAGATCTGGAAGAGTTGTTATATAACCCTCGTTCTGGATGATGTGAGGGATTAGCCAATGAAACGGTCTGTTACGGCGACTTGGACATGAGGTGTATGGAACTGCATAAACCACTAGAAATGTTAACGCTGATTGATTAATCAAATATCTGATGTCATAGGGTCAAAAGCAGGTCGTATGACTCCAGACAGACCTTAACGAAGCAGCACGCACGTGCTAACCATTCGGTTATCCATCTCCCCGATGATTCAGACATCAGTTAACATACCATGTGTATCAGTAACACCGGAATCATTTGATGGTGTATCGGAATCTGTTCTCCCATCAACAGTCTGTAGTCTTTTATCTCCAGTTAAAACCTGAGCAGCCTGCGATAGAGCACCTGAAATAGGGTAAAAGTAAAAAATTAAAGATACATTGTAGGAGATTTTTATAGAGAATTGGCCATTCTTGCTATAACAGTTCAAAAGTAGATGATGAAAGAAGAATATATTGAAAATTTCAGTCAAATTACTTTATTCTGAACATAGTTATCATCGTTGTAATATTTGACTAGAAATGGTAGTGAAATGTGCCTTCACCTTTGCCGATCGTTTGATTAACAGGCGTTAACTCCATCTACATATCTCGATTATCAAGTAAAGTTTTCAATGGCATGCGGAAACACTCTACAGCGGCCTCGCTAAGTACACTCTATCATTTAGCCTCGATCTAACTGACGTATTCTCATCAGGATGCGCCATAAGTGAAATCCTATTTAAATCCGAGCTGTAGCTGAACCATCCGTGGGTCTACAGAGTTGATTTTGGGCTTGTTTAAATAAAGATCTAATTTATAATTTCTATGACATCTGAAGCCTAAATTAAGACTTGCAATAATCAGATTTTGCTCTTGCATAATGTATGTTTAATTTCTATCCCACAAGAATTTTTAACTGAATGCGGTTTAACATCTCGTCAACACTACTTTGGGCATTTTGAGACTTAAGTTTTATTTAAATGCGAGGGGATGAAATTAAATAGGGTTTAATGTTCTACTATACTGCTCCAACTGGGCTAATGAAGATGGGCATATGCCATACAGTGTGCTATGAGGTAAATTTGACCAGGACAGCAGTGCTACGTCCACTCGTATATCGAATTCCAATTGCCAAAGGATCTTTCATGTGCATGCCAATGTATACACAGGACCTGGGTTTTATGTCCCATCCGAATGACTAGACAGCTGTTCTTGTCAGGCCTTTCGTTCTGCACCAATGACAAGTGGAAACCCTGATGAACTTTATCGGCCAACACTGGGAGTGAACCCACGAACTCCAGGCTAGCGAGCCAGCATCTTACTCACTTAGCCACCATGGCTCCCCATGCTAGGGGAAAATTCTGCCCAGACAGCAGTGTTTCTGTCTATTCGGCTTTGAATTCCAACTGACATGGGTTCTTGTAAATTGTGTAAATAGTAAGTTTCATGGTGACTGCACCACAAACAATTACACAAGACAAAAATACGGACAAGACACAATATACAGAAATCACAAACATATCAAAGGGGGTTGACTTCCATTTTATTTTTTCTTTAGTTTTCTTCTACACGACTAGGAATACTATTCTTGTCAACCTCGTACACGCCCCCATGACAACTACCACTATCAAGTGCTGCAGGTTTTTGAAGTGACAGTTGGAAGGAGAGATTTTACACAAGTGAGTATCACTTATATTGATCTTAAACGTTTGATTAGGGGAAAACCTTTGAATACTTACTTGGTACTTTAAGTTGTTTCGATAATTGTAGATTTTTTTTATGTCCACGTCCGCGAACTGTTACAATATGAGGTAACGCATAAAGTAAGGCCTGTAGACTAGGAAACCCATATAAGGCCGGTTTAATCTCGATACCAAACGCATCTAGAAAGGCTGATTCTAATTGGTCAACAGGTATTTTACCATGGCCAATCAACAACAATCTTATATCTCTGGCTAGGGTTTGCAATGGAGTAAGAGAAATAACAGCAGAATTATCTTCTCCTGACACCTGTAAAATCGAATAAAATAAAATTAGTATTTAATGTTCCTAAACGTATTTAACCAACTAAACCTGTAAAAAAAAAATCAAACAACTAAACATGAATGGAATGGAATGAAATGGAGTATAAGGTCCTACACCAACTGGTAGTTGGAATTCGATATAAGATTAGACTGTAGTGCCGCTGTCCGGGCAAAATTTCCCTCATAGCACACTGTATGACATATTTCTCAATGACTGTTTAAAAATAAACCCAATTGATTATGGATGTATAAAGATTGATTTTTGAACAGTGGTCAGGAAATTAAATACTTGTAAATTGAACACTCATTATCAAAATTAATCAGTCAGCTTTAAACTGGACACAAGTACAAATAAGATGATTTGGGGTGATTTTAAATTATTTTTATGAATCTTTAAACAAAGATTTGACATTAAATGAATATTAAAGAAATTGGTGCTAAATGTCTCAATTTGAACAGACAGTCAGTCAAGGTCGGCAAATGTAAGTAAAATGAGGGATCTTTTAGCAGTGGGAGTAAACCCAGAGAAAACTGACGAGGTTGGACAGGCGACCCTACACCCTGTCACATACAACCGTGGAATCGAAACCACGTCAGTTGACTTAATGACAGACCTTATGATACAACCCACACATCCTAACCATTCGGTCATCCAACATCCTGTAAAATGAGAGCTCTGAACATATGATCAATCTGTATCATAAAATGAAATAAAATAAAATGGGATTTAACGTCCTACTGTTCAGCTTCGAACTGGGTTAATGAAGACGGGCATACGCCATACAGTGTGCTATGAGGGAAATTTTGCCCGGGCAGCGGCACTATGGCCTACTTTTATATCGAATTCCAACTGCCAAGGGATCTTTTACGTGCACGGCAACGTGTACACGGGACCTCAATTTTTTCGTTCCATCCGAACGACTAAACAGCTGTCCTTGTCAGGCCCTCCATCCTGCATCACTGACAAGGGGAAACCACGCCGGAAAATCTGAATGAACTTTCTCTGCCAATGCAGGGATCAAACACCCGACCTTCAGGCTAGCGAGAAAGCGTCTTAGCCACGTGATCCCCCTAATGGCAGACCTTATGATCAGAAGTATATGCATTAGACAACTTAAACACCACCCTCCCAAGGGGAAACCACGCCGGAAAAGATTAACCATAAAAATAAATAAATATTTGACAACTTACTTGAACATAATCTAACAATTCTTCTCTGATCTGTTTCATATCACAATCTACATTAAACGTATTCCTATACCAACTACATAATTCTACAAAGGGGAGAGAACCACTACTCTGATCCATCAAAAGTTGTAGAACTTGAAGAGCTAAGGGAGGTAACTGTGTGTGTCTTAACAATACTACATACTGTTCACCATTATAGACTTCCACCTATAAATAATACAATAATGTCAGGGTTTTACTTCCACTCGAAACAAACTAGGTTATTTCGGGACTAACATATGGTTCAATTTGATTTTAATAATATGCTTGTGTGTAGGGGTCTTAAGCAGTGGGAGGAAACCGGAGGAACCCATAAGGTTGGATATACAACCCTACTCCTTCAGGGTGTGCACAACTCAAAACAATTAAAATTCCAAGAGTTTTCCAGGAGTCCCTGTATAGAATTCTACATCATAAGGCATTTTTTTTATGCTTGAAGAACATTACTGACAAACTCGTGAAGTTTTTGAGGAAAAATTTGATGACTACATTTAGTTTTATATCTTAAAATTTTCAACAAAACAACAAATGTTAATTTTCCAGGAGTTTCAAGGAGTAATCTTGTTTTTCCAGGATTTTCCAGTACTGGAAATAACATTTTCATTTTTCCAGGATTTTCAAGGAGTGTGCGAACCTTGTCCTTGTCAAGAGCAAGGTTGGGATTGAAACCACTTGACTCGATGAAATGCAGTTAGGGTAATTCTTAATACAAGATATATAGCATGCCCTAGGACAATGAATCAGTGCACAGGACCTTTTTTTATTGGCCAGTCTGAAGGCATATTCTTGTTTGCTTCAAAGGCAACACACTAACCAAAACCTCATTCTTAATTATTGTTTTGTAGTAGGATGAAATGAAATGGGGGTTTAACATCCTACTTTTGTACCAACAGAAGAAAGAGAAATGGGGTCTAACATCCGTGCGACACAAACTAGGTCATTTTGGGACTAACATGTGGTTTAATTTTATTTCAATAATTTGCTTGTGCACAGGGGTCTTTAGCAGTGGGAGGAAACTGGAGGGCCCAGAGAAAACCCACGAGGTTCATTAGCCCAGACAGACGTTAAACCCCATTCATTTCATTTCTGTCTTATTTACTCAGCCACCTCGGCTCCATTGCTAATTTGAAACCATCACCTTACCTTGATAATATGTCGTAATTTAGATAAAAGAGATTTCAGACATTCCACGTGAAAATCCTCAAATCTTGGAGTGAAACCGAACATATTAAGGAATTCTGGGATAAGTTCAACAAGAGGTATACACTGTCCAGGTCTTGTCTTGAGTAACTCCGTCACCTGTTCCGATAAAACTTTACGCATCTCTGGTAAAGTTAAACGTAGAATTCTTTCTTCTCCTTCATCTTCCATCTAAAATATAAAAATACACATTCGATGATAAATTAAATCGCTGATATTTGGGAGAAAGACAGAAATGGGGTTTAAGGTCCACTCGACACAAACTAGGTCATTTCGGAACTAACACATGATTTAATTTTATTTCAATAATTCACTTGCGCATAGGGGTCTTTAGCAGTGGGGGGAAACCAGAGGACCCGCAGAAAACCCAAGACGTTGAACAGGCGACCCTACTCTTTGTCACGGACAACTGGCGTTCGAAACCACGCCAGTTGACTCAATGACAGACCTTATGATACAGCGTGCTAACCATTTGACCCCCCCTGCTGATATTTGGAAACTAGAAATTAACACAAATGGATCGCAACGCATGTAATAATGCAATATGAATGTATATAAACTGATTTACATTCAATCGTTTATGGTTTCTGGTTATTCCAGTCTACATGCTCTCCAGATAAGAATATGGCGTCACTGCTTGACATGACTATGGTAAAATGTTTTATTTCGTCTTCAACATTGGATATCAGAAGCCCATCTTTTCCCGGTAAGATCACAACATCAATGTTGAGTTGAATTGACAAATAATTAATGTTTTAGGTGATACTGAGTTAGAGACTTAGCTACTTCAAATTGATCATAAGGGTCATAACTTTAGATGTAATTAACGGAAATTGTTGAAATGATATAGGCTTTTCCATCTCACCAATATATAAATTTCAAAACGATCGGAACAAGGGATATTTACCCCAACAACATGGGATATTTAACTCAACATGTGGGATATTTACCTCAACAACATGGGATATGGCTTCAAAGAGATCCGATAATTTAGTAAAACCATATTCTGCTACTTTACACTGACGTGCGAAATGGTGGTGATAAGCCGGAATAAATTTGTTAAAGACCATACGACACTGATTATGTTTCAACAAATCGTAAACTTCTAAAGCAAACTGTTTCGTTCTTTCAATTTCTTCTGGAGCTTGATCTGAAAGTAATTTAAAATACATCCAAAATAAATATACTTCCTGGCCAAGTGGTTTAGAGAGAGAGAGAGAGAGAGAGAGAGAGAGAGAGAGGGTTTAATGTCTAACTAGGTCATTTTGGGACTAACATTTGGTTCAATTTTTATTTCAATAATTCATTTTGCACGAAGGGGTCTTTAGCAGTGGGAGGAAACCAGAAGACCTGGAGAAAACCCATAAGGTTGGACAGGCGATCCTACTCCTTGTCAAGTGCAACCTAAGAATCAAAACCCCGCCAGTTGACTCAATGACAGACATTATGATACAATGCACATGAGTTAACGGCCATCCAATCCACCTAAATTTGTGTGTGGATGAATTGACTATAAAAAGTATAAATACCTCTTCTAGGAATAGATATATAAGTTCTATCAGCTTCTTTATATACCTGTAATATAATGTAACAAATAAAATAGGGCTTAACTTCCTGTTTCTCTTCTAACTGGGCTAATGATCGTAATTTGCCTGGACAGCAATTTTTCCATCTACTTTTTATCAAATTCCAACTATCAAGGTTTCTTTCATGTGCACACACACCAGTGTGTACATGGTTGAACCATGGGTTTCTTACCATCCCAACAGCAATATTTGACCACGTTACCCATGACATATGTGCATAAGGCTTGAAAAATACCATGTTACCCATGACACGTGGGAACAAGGCTTGAAAAATTTCATGACAATCGAGAACAAGGCCTGAAAAATCCCATGGTTCTTCCCGGCCCATACCGTGATTCGAATTTGAGACATTCTAGTTGACATTTCTGTGGCCTATAATGTGCTCTACAACATTAGCCCATGCCCCGCCACCCTCAAACCATTCTAGTGTCTGGTGGCCTATAATATGCTCCACAACATCAGCCCATGCCCCGCCACCCTCAAACCATTCTAGTGTCTGGTGGCCTATAATTTGCTCCACAACATTAGCCAATGCCCCGCCACCCTCAATCCATTCTAGTGTCTGGTAGCCTATAATGTGCTCTACAACATTAGCCCATGCCCCGCCACGCTCAAACCATTCTAGTGTCTGGTGGCCTATAATGTGGTTCACAACATTAGCCCATGCCCCGCCACCCTCCAACCATTCTAGATTCTGGTAGCCTACAATGTGCTCTACAACATCAGCCCATGCCCAATCACCTTCCAAACATTCTAGATTCTGGTAGCCTACAATGTGCTCTACAACATCAGCCCATGCCCAATCACCTTCCAACCATTCTAGTTTCTGGTAGCCTATAATGTGCTCTACAACATTAGTCCATGCCCATCACCTTCCCCCCACCACCACCACTGAATGCCGACATGAGTCAAATTATGACATAAAAACTTACGGTGGCAGCCGATGGTGGAACTTCAGCGATTAAGTCTTCTATATAACAAGAACCATACTGTGTTACATCCCATGGTTTACCAAATACACGCACTGAAAATATAAATGAACTGTTACACAATGCAAAGAATTGGTATCGGGTGTTTTAGAAAGATTAGAGGGAATTTTGCCTGGTCAGCGGCACTATAGCCTACTCTTATATCGAATTCCAACTGCCAAGGGATCTTAAGGCGCAAGCCAATGTATACACAGGACCTTGGTTTTTTTTCGTTCCATCCGAAGGACCAGAAAGCGGTCCTTGTCACCACTGACGAGAGGGAACCACGACAAATAATTGTGATAAACTTTTTTGTCCAGTTCAGGGATCGAACACATGACTTCCAGGCTAGCAAACCAGCGTCTTACCCACCGTCGCTCCCCTGTGAATAACAAGATATTGTCTGAAAAATACTAAAGTCAATCAGCATATTTAAAATAATTTAATAATATAGATTCCAGGAGTTAACAGTAATTACTTACTGAAGCATGATGGGAAATCTTCCAGATCCATCTGTTTTCCAGTCAGCCATTTTAAAACACGGAGAAGATCAGCTGTGAATCTACGAACCTGAGCTCGGTGACTTAAAGTTATAATTTTTCTACCTCCCATACCAAGAACCTACAATACAATTATATATATATATCATTCTAAACCAGATTATCTACATAACAATCTGATTAAAATACACATCTATATTTCATTTTTATACTTTCGATGGCCTACACTACATGAAGATCTGACCAGTTGTAGTAAAGGGTTGCAACTTTGGACACTATTACGTCAGACATTGACTAATCCATCAGCGTTGACGTTTCTAGTGGGTTACCCACAGTTCTGTGCATTGCATGTCAAGAAATCGCCTTAACAGACTGTTTCATTGGTGAATCGCTCACACCAGCAAGAACGTAAGTCGTATAACAACTTTCACGCCAAAACACCTGTTTCAAACCCCCTACCACCCTGTTATTCAACCCAGCAGCCTACTGAGCCACTGTGCTTTCCAAAATCACAAAATGAAATGAAATGAAATGGGGTTTAACGTCCTACTATTCTGCTCCTAACCTCTGCTCCTAAGACGGGCATACGCCATACAGTGTGCTATGAGGGGAATTTTGCCTGGGCAGTGGCGCTACAGCCTACTCTTATATCGAATTCCAACTGCCAAGGGATCTTTTATGTGCACGCCAATGTGTACACGGGACCTCGGTTTTTCCGTCCCATCCGAACGACTAGACAGCTGTCCTTGTCAGGCCCTCCGTCCTGCATCACTGACAAGGGGGAAACCACGCCGGAAAATCTGGATGAAATTTCTCGGCCAATGCAATGACAAAATGAAGAAAATAAAAACAAAGAGTTAAAATAGACCAACCTGTACGGATTGTGGTAGAGCTTCAAATAATTCCATTAATTTATTATATCCATAATCTGCTACACGACACTGACGTCGGAAATGGTGATGATAGGCGGGGATGAACTTTGACACTGGCATACGACACTGTGAACTATGTTTCAACAGATCAACTATTTCACGACTCAGTTGAACTAAATGTTGCGATAAACCTGGGCTACTCCGCGTAGAATCTAAAACAGAGAGAGAGATGGGGTTTGCCGTATATATTAAATGTTGCGATAAACATAGAGAAATGGGGTTTAACATCCACTCGACACAAACTAGGTCATTTCGGGACTAACATATGGTTTTAATCTTTTATTTCAATAATTCGCTTGCGCATAGGGGTCTATAGCAGTTGGAGGATACAGAGGACCCGGAGAAAACCCACGAGGTTGGACAGGCGACCCTACATTCCCCACCACCCCTCAAGGATAAACTTTGGTTACTTAAAATCCCTGTAGAATCTACAATAAAGAGAGATGGGGTTTGACATGAACTAAATTATGCGATAACCCTGGGCTACTTGAAATCTGTGCAGAATTTAAAATAGAGAGAGATAGGGCTTGACGTAAATTGAATGTTGCCTCAAATCAGAGATGGGTTCCCGTAGAATTGCGATAATCCTGGGCTACTTAAACTACAAGTAGAATCTAAAATAGAGAGGGAAAGAGAGAGATGGGGTTTTAACATATACTTGATATAAACTGAATAATACATATAAATATACAGATCGGATGTTAACTTTTGTTGTCAGAGCATTCACAGGGTTCAACAAAGTGAAACAAGGGCCATAACTCTAGAAGTAATTAACGGAAATTGCCGATATTAAATAGGGCTCTTTGTTTCACTAACTTAAAGGATGCACATAAATTTCATACAAATAGGATAATACTTTTTGTTGTTAGAGGGTTCACAAGGTCGCAATAAAGTGAAACAAGGGCTATAATTGAAGACAAAATTAACGGAAATTATTGAAATTAAATAGGCTTCTTCATCTCACTAATTTAAACAACATATATCAAAACTTTTTTTTTTTAGAGGGTTCACAAGGTGCAATATAGTGAATCAAGGGGTGTAACACCAGAAGAAATATTGGGAATTAGGCTTCTTGATCACTAATCTAAACAACATACATCAATTTAAATTTTTTTAATATAGTCTGTAGAGTGTTCACTAGATATTGTGGACAACGGATCGACGTCAATATACAATTACATTTCTATGTGGGCGAATAAAAACGTCCAAAGTCAGTTCTGGTGCATGTATACAAAAAATTTCATCCACAAAAACAAAAATACTTAAATCTAACCTGGCGAGGAAGAATCTACTACAATTTCTGATCTTTCGGACCACTGAACTTTCTTCATACCCACTTTACTGATCTGTATCTCTATACCAGGTATACAACTAATCAGATGTTCTAAAGGGACACCACTCTCTTTAACTGCTACAAGGGGAGAGAACTCAGCAGCATAACAAGCAGTAAAACTACAACATAAATGTGATTTAAAATTAAAAAGTGAATCTCTTTCAGATCCAACACATGGGGGCCTCTATTCACCAAATCTCAAACATCTACACTCATAAGAAGTCCAACATCCCAAAAAGCCTTGTAGTTCTGACCAATCTGAAAAACAAATCTCTTTTCAATTGAACACATGGGGGGGGGGGGGGCTATTAACCAAATCTCAAACATATTTGTGAATGCGGCCACTGAACATGCACCCAGATATTGATGTTAATAACCCATTGACCTCATATTTATGAGAATTACGTCATTCATATAACATGATGTTCAATGTTCGCTTGACACAAACTAGGTCATTTTGGGACTAACATATGGTTAATTTTTTTTTCAATAACTCGCTTACGCATAAGAGTCTTTAGCAGTGGGAGGAAACGAGAGGACCAAGAGAAAACCCATGAGGTTGGACTGGCGACCCAAGTCCTTGTCACATACAACCCGGGAATCAAAACCATGCCACCAACCCCCCCCCCCCCTTTATACAGACGATAAAATATTTTACCTCATGAGTGGTAAGCTACCATTATGTGATAGTAGAAGAGTGTGAACATTGGCTGAGAAGGGTTTGATATGTAGCTTAACATTAGGTAACATCGAACAATTCATTGCCTCGGCATAAAATACACTTCCTTCTGGACAATGTTGTGAACAGACTGGATGTTCAAATATCTCTTGAATCTACAATACAAAAAATCGATTAGCTTTAACCGTTCTGCGATAGTTAATGAGAATATTTTTAATTTTTTGAAATAGACACAATGTCAGCTCTAAAAAATTAATCGAGAGAGATAGAGAGGGCGGGTGTTCCATCCCCTCGACACAAACTAGGTCATACCAGCCTTGCAGGTAGGGGGTCTTTAGCAGTGGGAGCAAACCTTAGGACCTTTAGAAAATCAAACAGGTTGGACAGGCAAGCCCACTCCTTGTCAGGTATAGGTCGGGAATCCAAACCACATCACTTGACATCATGACAGTCTCATAACAACTTTTGGTCTTCGAAGAAATTATCATTAAGCAGAAATTTGCCTGTGTATCTGTTATTGCTCGTTACTTCAGTCAGTTATATAGAAGGTTAACTCCACTCGACACAAACTAGGTCATCTTGGGACTAACATATGGTTTAATTTTATTTCAATAATTCGCTTGCACGTAGGGGTCTTTAGCAGTGGGAGGAAACGGGAGGATCCAGAGAAAACCCGCGAGGTTGGACAGGCGACCCTACTCGTCACGTACAATCGGGGACTTGAAACCATGCCAGTTGACTCAATGACAAACCGTATGATACAGCGCGCACATGGTAACCATTCTGCCATCCAACCCCACATGTTAAACAAAGTGGCCACCGAACTCTAAACAAGCGAGATAAAACATACCTCGGCATCAGATCCGTCTGGAGTAAAGGGTCTAGTGTTGACGTTATTCCGTGTCAGGTAGACATATCGTCCAGCCCCACCATGTTCCTGTATGTCTATGATATCTCTCAGTTTGTATAGTTCCGATACACTGATAGATTTATGATACCTGAAAATAATAAATGTAAATAACATTTTACTTTTCTGTAGTGACTGGAAATGAAATGAAATGGGGTTTAACGTCCTACTGTTTAGCTCTGAACTGTGCTAATGAAGACGGGCGTACGCCATATATTGTGCTATGAGGGAAATTTTTCCCGGACAGCGGAACTATGGCCTACTCTTATATCTAATTTCAACTGTCAAGGGATCTTTTATGTGCACGACAATGTGTACACAGGAATTTGGTTTTTCATCCCAACCGAACGACTAGACAGTTGCCTTTGTCAGGCCCTCCGTCCTGCATCACTGAAAAGGGCGAACCACTCCGGAAAATCTGGATGAACTTTCTCGGCCAATGCAGGGAGCGAACACCTGACCTCCAGGCTAGTGAGCCAGCATCTTAACCACTTTGACTTAGCCACTGTGACCCCCCTGTAGTGACTGGGCTAATGAAATTAGACATAACCATGTAATGTGCCACTAGGGAAATTTACCCTACACTTCACTGAATTCTAACTAAGAAGGGTTCCTTACCAGCCCCCAGTTAAGCACCATTGACAAGGGGGAAATCAAGTTAAAAAATCCTGAAGATGTTTCTTGACCACCACAGGGATACTATCAGTGATAAGCGATACCACACCTTACACCATTATGAGAGAGAGAGAGAGAAATGGGGTTCAACGTCCAATCAACACAAACTAGGTAATTTCGGGACTAACATGGCTCAATTTTATTTCAATAATTTGCGTGCATGTACGAGTCGTTAGCAGTGGGAGGAAACTGGAGGACCTGGAGAGAACCCATTAGGTTGGACTCCTTGTCACGTAAAACCGAGGAATCGAAAATACATAATGCACACGCGCTAACCATTCCGCCATCCAACCCCACTACTCCATGTGCATGCCCATGTGTGCATGTGACCTCATTTTTTTTCGTCCCATCCGATTGACTTAAGTTGTCCCTTTCCATGACCTTCATCCTGCACCTCTGACTCGAAGGAACCACGATGGAAAATCCCTATCCACTTTCTCGGTCAATTCACTGTGGCTCCCAGTTTTCAATAACCCTCAAATATCGATCAGTGAATTTAAAGATACATTATGTAAGATTTAGATAAAGAGCTAGCCATTTTTGCTATAATAGTTCAAAAATAGATGATGTAAAATGAATAATTTGAACATTTCATTCAAATTACTCTATTGCGAGCGAAGATATTAGCCTTTGAAGGTTTGACAAGACGTGTGCAACAATTTCAACCGATGTACTGGTTGTTCGAAGCAAAGTCTCGTTCCTCCATTTTTAGCTTAAATCAAATTACGACTGAACTGTTCTAATCTATTCAATATCTGAGGAATCTGATGCCATCGAGAGTTGATTATGGACTGGATAAGTTAATTAATGTCTAATTAATAATTTTGATAACATTTCACGCCTTAAGAAAGACTTGGAATAGGCAGATTTAGCTCTTACATAATGTATGTTAAAAAAAGAAATAAATGTTTACCTTTTATCAAAGAGTTCTATGAATTTAAACAATGGCAGCATGTTACCATTAGCTTCAGATAATAGACTGACTATTTCAGCCCTGAAATTACAAAAACTCAATGAAATAGAGAGAGAGAGAAATGGGGTTTAACGTCCACTCGACACAAACTAGGTCATTTCGGGACTAACACATGGTTTAATTTTTTATTTCAATAATTCGCTTGCGTGTAGGGGTCTTTAGCAGTGGGAGGAAACCGGAGGTTGGACAGGCGACCCTACTCCTTGTCACGTACAACTGGGGATTCGAAACCACGCCAGTCGACTCAATGACAGACTTTATGATACAGCGCACGCACGCTAACCATTCAGCCATCCAACCCCCTGCGCATAGTGGTCTTTAGCAGTGGGTTAGGACCCAGAGAAAACCTATTCCTTGTCACATACAACCAGGTATTGATATCATGCCTGTAGACTCAATGACAGACCTTACGATAGGTGCTAACCATTCGGCCATCCAGCCCCTCCTTGAATGAAATAGGGCTTACATGTGATATCTTAATATTCCGCACCAACTAGGCTAATGAAAACAGTCATTGATCTAAAAGAGATGTTTTGCCATAACACTAACAGCAGCATTTCTCCTTAATCTTCATCAAAATAAAGTTCATGCAAACATGTATACATGACCTATGTTTTATTTTATCCATATGACTAGCAGCTGTTCTTTCTTTCCATCCTACACCTTGACAAAAGGGGGGGGGGGGAGGGAAACAGTAACTTTCTTCCAAAACAAGGATGGAACCACAGACCTCCTGGTTACTGAACTAGTGCCTTAATCACTGACCCACCATTGCTCCACAATTTACAAAAAGACAATGCCTGGGATTTGAAAACCTTGAGAACTGTCCCAAGACCTACCTGAGATTGACGGCAGCTAGCTGTGTATCTTCGTGTTTTAAGGTAACTTGTATCCGTTTATATCCTATTTTTTTACGATGAAACTGAGAAATAGCGAAACGAGCTTCGTCAATAGTAGGAATTTTAATCATGCCAATACAGGTATTATCTGGTTGAGTTTTAATATGGACGCTTAAAACCTGCAAATATTAATAAATATGGACACTTAAAACCTGAAATTATACAATACAAATAATCTATTTGCCAAACTATCCCAACGTCATATTTTTCCTGGAACTGGTCTTGCAAGAAAGAATGATCCTGCAGTACAAGTAAACATTTGCTGGCTGAATGGAGTCATTTCAGATGAGTTAATTGCCCCTGAATTTGATTATGGCACTTATACAAATATGAACGTAAATGACTATTAGCATAATGATATAAAACAGGGTTTAACATCCTACTGTTCTGCTGAGATTGAGCTAATAAAGACAGAGTGCTACGAGGGAAATTTTCTTATTTTGAATTCCAACTGTCTTACATGCCAATATGTACACAGGACCCTGGTTTGTCATACCCACCAAACGACTAGACACTGTCATTGCCACGCCATCCGCCACTATCAAGGGAAAATCACACCAGAAAATCCCGAGAAACTTTCTTGGCCAACTCTTGAATCAAAAATGAGACCTGATGAGAGTGAGAGAGAGTGAGAGAGAGAGAGAGAGAGAGAGGGAGAGAGAGAGAGGGAGAGTGAGAGAGAGTGAGAGAGAGTGAGTGAGTGAGAGAGGGAGAGAGAGAGAGAGTGAGAGAGAGAGAGGGAGAGTGAGAGAGAGTGAGAGAGAGTGAGTGAGTGAGAGAGGGAGAGAGAGAGAGAGAGGGAGAGAGAGAGAGAGTGAGTGAGTGAGAGAGGGAGAGAGAGAGAGAGAGGGAGAGAGAGGGAGAGAGAGAGAGAGTGAGAGAGAGGGAGAGAGAGAGAGAGGGGATGGGGTTTAACATCCACTTGACACAAACTAGGTCATTTCGGGACTAACATGGTTCAATTTTATTTCAACAATTAGCTTGCATGTAGGGGTCTTTAGCAGTGGGATGAAACTGGAGGACCCGGAGAAAACCCACATGGTTGGACAGGCGAACCTACTCCTTTCCATGTACAACCGGGGAATCGAAACAACGCCAGTTGACTCAATGACAGACCTTATGATACAACGCGTGCGCACTAAGCATTCGACCATCCAACCCCCACACCCGATATTAGTGAGCCAGAATCTTACTGAGCTACAGCGGCTCACTGGCTGTAATGATATTGAATGTGAAAGAAATTAGTGCTAAATACACAAGATTAAATGATACCCAGGTTACAATGTGCGGCACCCTGGATGTAATGTATACATACCTTGACTTGAGGGTGAAATGTTGTAAATAAAATCTTTCTCCATTCCTTGGCACTGATATTATAATCTAGATTTGATACGACCAATTCTACTGGACCCTCAATATTACTATATTCACATGGTGAAACACTTCCATTCATAAAACTGCTTCCACCATTCATATACCCATTTCCAATTGGTTGAAAACTATTAGCTGTAAAACGATTGGGCGACGAGCTCTGTAGATAATTCTGACCATTGTAACTGTTATGATAGTTGTTGTAGTTAGTGGGTCCGGGCGAGTAAGCTGCGTAGTGATTGGATGGGCTGGTTCGATAGAATGATCGTGGTGAACTTGATACGTTGGGATTAACGTAACAAGGCGAATTACGTATGGGAGCGCTACAAGGACGTATATCTCTATGGTAACCGTTATACATGTCACTTTGTTCCTTCTGTTTCTGCTCCTGGTACAACTGCTGGTGGATCATTAACAAATTACGACTGCACTTGCTTCCAATTATCGCTTGTCCACTGTCGTTCTCCGGTGTCTCCTGGAGACCATTTCGAACGTGGCTGTACTCGGATTCTGATTGGCTATCGTGACGTGTTCTACGATATCCAGGATGAGGAATATCTATAGGTACGCTGGATGCACCGTGGGATGAGAATGAATTATTACGATCTAAGATATTTTCGATATCTTGTTTGCGACTGAATTCAAGGAAATCTTTATTCGACGAAAATTTACGTGGCGTAGAAGGTTTCTTGAAATTATCTGAAAAACAATTTGATAAAGTATATAATCAAGGGCAGTAACTCTGTCAATCACAGATGTCGCAAATCTTTTTTTTATGAAATTAAATGAAATGAAATTGGGTTTAACATTGTGTTTTTCTGCACAAACACGGCTAATGAAGATGGGGATATGTCATTTTACATGGACAGCGGCACTACATTCCCCTCTGAATTATAAATAACAATAAATCAATCGTTTTAAAGAAAAACATGATATAGAATGCTGTTGTGGATCACAGCAGCTAGATGAAACTATATGCGGTTCCTAATCTAAATTCAAAGCAGAATGACTGTGTTCCAAAAGTTCTGAGGGATGTTGGTTGATTGACGACTTTTTTCATTCATCTTTTCATTTGTTTTACTTCTTTTTTTTTTATCCTTTTCTCTTTTAACCCCTTTCAAATCTAAACCCCCATTTACTTTTTTACCAGGTTTGCATGCGGATTATGGGTTAGGGTTAGTGCCCATTAACTTGGGAATTTCTGACATCATCTTTGTGAAAAAAAGGGCTGCCTAAAATAAGTAGTCAGATCAGCCGACAATGCCAAAGTTCTGAGGCATGGTGCTTAGCATGTGCTGAAAATCAGACAGACACAAGAACAGACAGACCACTGTGGCCCATCACCACTCAACCTCAATTAGAAGCAGTTATTGTGTTCCAAGATATGTCATTTTAATATTCAAATTTCTATTGCTTTCACTTCGTCTTCATTAGCTCAGTTCGGAGCAGAACAGTAGGAAGTTAAACCCCATTACATTTCATTTCTATTGCTTTCACACAGAACAAAAAGGGGCAAAGCTACCTTCGGTACTGAATGACAATTTTTCACAACTTATACATTTAAGAAATAATTTTATTGAAATCAAAAATGGATGAAAAAAAATAATTGACAGATTTTCTATAAAAATAGTTCAATAAATTTGTTGAGCACATTTCCAATATGTCAAAATGGCTGCCTTACCACTAAATGAAGCAACATGGGTACAGTTTTCACTTTCCCCTGGAAATGAGGCAGTAATCTTGAACCCAAAAACTTTTTCACCATCCATTCTTTTTTTGGCTCTGAAAATATCAGAAAATCACTTTTGTTGGAGGATAAGTTAAAAGTTGTCAATTGAAATGATTGGCAGCACATCACTCTTATATTTCTAACTTGTACTTCCAAATCCAACTAAATATTATCATGGGAGGGACTTAATTCAGTTCACCTGCTATCATTCACTGCTAACCAATCAAATACTGTCATGGGAGGGACTTAATTCAGCTCACCTCCTGTCAATCACAGCTATGAGGCACATCATCCAATCAACAGTCAATAAGTGTTCACTAGGTTTTACCAGAGAATAACTGAGCCCCACCCTGTCAGATGAGTTGATCTCATCAGGTAAAAAGCATGCAAGGAGCTAGGGGGTTGTATAAACATGGTTTAGTTGGCTATTGTTTTCTGGATAAAGTTTAATCAGCCAATTTCATCATCACTGACTCACTCATTATCAATGATTTTTAACTCAAATAAACAAAGATTCAAATTCAGTTAAAATAGTTTATTTATTTGGATCAAGTTTTATTCAAACAGTTTATAATAATGAGATTGATTTTTAAAAATCATACCAAGTTTTTAAAATGTTAATTTAACAGTATCTAGCCAATCTGTGTGTTCAGTATATGAAACAACTTTTATGTTAGACTAAAATCCCTTGACAGTTGGAATTCGATATGAGAGTAGGCCGTAGTGCCGCTGTCCTGGCAAAATTTCCCTCATAACATACTGTATGGCGTATGCCCATCTTCATTAGCCCAGTTCGGAGCAGAACAGTAGCACGTTAAAGGCTCAATACCACTCTTGTAACTGAATAATATGTCCCAATCTTTATTCTGGTCAACAAATTGTATTATTTTACAATATTCCAATTAATTGATGATACAAATTTCATCTTAACTCACCTAATTTAAAAAATTGGAAAAATTCAACTAAATGATTTGAAAAGCCTGACGTAAACCTTTTCAAATGTGACTTGGATTTAAAAATATTTTTGAACCCTTTGGACAAGTAAAATAGGATTTAATGGATAATTTACACAACAGGTAGGACACTTAAACATCTAGTACTTAGAATAAGGCTGTTTTTTATTTTCTGGAGCTGTCAAGCCAGCAAGAGTGTCATTGTCCCTTTAAACCCCATTTCCTTTATGTTAGGCTAGTAGTAGGATAACCAGCTTCGTCCGCGGGGGGGGGGGACAAATTCGATGACTTAAAACATTCACAGGGTCATGCTGGTTAATTTGATACCACATATGTGTGAGTGGAGCGTGGCAAAAAAAGTGTGATTTAAAGATACATTATGGGAGATTAGATAAAGAGCTGACAGTTCTCGCTATAATAGTTAAAAACTAGATAATGTAAAGGTAATTTGTCAAATTGGTCCACTATGAACCGAGATATCAGCTTTGTAAATTTCCATCTAGCCTCGTTCATCATTACTAAAGTTAGTACGTTAAAAAGCAGTCTCGATTATCCATTGTTTTGATTTAATTATCAATGAGTGTCTGCAGCATATAGGATTCTAATCCAGTCGATATCGAAGGCTAGCCTTGACATCGAGAGTTGATTATAGTCTGGATAAGTTAATTTATGTCTAATTAATAATTTAGATAAGATTTCAGGCCTAAAGAAAGACCTGCGATAGGCAGATTTAGCTCTTGCATAATGTATGTTTAATTGGGGTCCAAATTCGATGGCCTATAACATTCACAGGGTCATGCTAGATGAAACTTTATTTGCAGACAACACCCAACTTTATATTGAATTTGACACAGACTCTCAACATTCTACTATACAAAATATGGAAAGTTTGTCTCACAGGAATTCTTGGGTGGATGACAGAACATTTCTTGGAATTAATTCCAAATAAAACAGAACTGCTAGTAATTGGAACCAAGCAACAACTCCGAAAATTTGATCAAACGCTAGTTAATTTTGATAAAGAAATAATTTCAGGAACCCATAAAGCTCAAAATATTGGTGCTATATTAGACTCGAACCCATCGTTTAAAGAACACATACAAAGTATTTGCTCCACTGCCTTCTATGATATCCATCGAATTGGAAAGATCCAACGCTATCTCAATTATGAAAATAAAGAAAAGCTCATTTACGCATTCATCTCAACTAAACTAAATTACCACAATGGTTTACTATACGGCTTACCAGACTATCAGATTAATAAACTACATGTTCAAAATTCAGCAGCTCGACTCCTCACTAAAACTAGAAAACATCAACACAATTCAGCAAAGAATTAAGTTCAAGTTACTCCTCTTCCTCTTCAAAGCGTTAAACGGCCAAGCTCCATCTTATATATAAAAAGTCTTGTAGAACCCTATACCACCAGCAGAAATCTCCGTTCTCAGAAAAAACATCTTCTAAAACATGCCTTTTCTTATGCTGGTTCTTTCCTATGGATTAGACTACCAGAAACAATGAAACAAAAACCGTCTATGGACCATTTTAAATCTCAACTTAAAACATTTTTATTTCAAAACCCTGATCAGATGACCATTTGGCCACCGCTCTGGGTAAAATTGTTTTATCAAGGTGATTGTAATGTCCGGTACACGAGAAACTATGAATGATACTATATAATATACGTACCGTACAGAACTCTCCCTACTAGGAAATCTAAGAACAGCATACTCTGGTGTCACAGAGATTACACGCCCTCCACAATTATTGGATAATAATTTTAATTTGGTATGAATTTGGTTTTTAGACACTTCTTTCGAAAATCCGCGTACTTCAATTTCCACCTTTCCTTCAGCACCCTGTAATATGAAATGAAATGGGGTTTAACGTCCTATTGTTCTGCTCCGACTGGACTAATGAAGACGGACATACGCCATACGGTGTGCTATGAGGGAAATTTTTCACAGGTAGCAATTGAATTATGTCACTGTTTTTACATGCATGCCACAAAGTGTACACAGGACCTTTCGTCCCATATGAACAACTAGGCAATGTTCTTGTCCTTGAACCCAAAAAATCCTGAGGAACTTTCACGAACAACATCCCCTTTTTGACTGAACCACCGTGGCAACCTGACCTGAATCATACATAACTTATTACTTAGATGTAACAGGAGCCCAAACATGAAGGAAGAGAGAAAGAGATTTAACGTCCACTCGACACAAACCAGATAATTTTGGGACGAACACATGGTTCAATTTTATTTCAATAATTCACTTGCACATGGGTCTTTAGCAGGTGACCCTACTCCTTGTTACGCACAAGTGGGGCATCGAAACCACACTACTTGACTCAATGACAGACCCTATGGTTTCAAGCGTATGCGTTAAACCACCCAACCCCCCTTAAACTATACGAACTTACCTTTGATGGAGTACGAAATGGTAGGCCTTCAATAAGATCATCGTACAGGTGACTCTCATTAGCACAACTAATCAAAGCTTCATTAGTAAAACGACCATGAATTAAAATCGTATAATAATTTTTACGATGACGTAAATCTGATAAATCAGAAATGAAATTAAAATCACCTGAAATTATAAAATAAATTCATAATATTTGTTATTTTTCATGCAAAAGGCCTATGGTACTGAAATCGGAAATAGGACAAAATATAAAAAAAAACACATTACAGAAATATTCATATTTCCTGTGACAAAGTCATTTAGCCCATTAATCCTTTGACAAAATAAAAAACAAAGTAATAAAAACAACCAACTCACATCAGATTATTTTGGTGGATTTAAAGTTAGCGTATATTAGGCCAAAAAAAAAGGGTTCTGTTGCCAAAAAAAAAAGGGTTCTGTTTCCTGTAATGGATGGAAAATAGGGTAGGGTCGGTAGGTAGGGTTTTTTTTTTCTTTTTAATGTTACATTTTTTTTTTTGACCTTACCAGAAATGAGAATGATTCGTGTTTGTGGTGGATGGGTGTCGGAAAACCTTCGTAAACTTTGACGGATTTTATCATCGGCAGCATTTTTCCCAGTTGCATCAATGTGAACCACATTTACCTGAAATAGTCAGAATATATTCCATTGTAACATGCTTAGGGGTGAATCTGGCATTTTGATTGGTCAATTCGACACTCTCTATTGGACAATAACACCCCTCTTGTTTTAGTAATTTCTTTTAAAATACTAAAATAGCATGTTACAATGTCGATAAACACTTCCTGTTTCACATTTAGAGATTTTACATTAGAACCCGCGACACTAACACGTCTTGGGTCCTAATGATCTCAGTGAAGGCCATCGAAAGTATAAAACAAAAAATAACAGAAATATAGATCCACATTTTAATCAGATTGACTTTTCGTGGTCCAATGAACCATATAAGGCTTTTTTATCGACTTGCCAAAATGGTTTTAATTTAGAGAGATGTCATGTGACAGTATAGTCGATTTCATGGTACTTTGACGAGTTCATTACAGGCGCCGATTAGCTATAAACAATTCTATTGGCTGGACATCGTTGGAAAAAAAAAACGTAATCACCCGGTCAAACCGCGATTTGTGGTAATTGCTTCGGAAATTGGTGTTAATAAATTTGTTGACCAGGGTAATCGATTTTAATTTGACAGGCGAAAATTTGATTGAATGCAAATCAATTTGGCAAATCAGAAGTCGGTAAAAAACCTCTAATTTTATTTATTTTGAAAGGAAATTGTAATTTGAGGGGAGCAGGATGTTTATGTCTGAGTCTTGTTTATTTTGGGAGGAAAATGGTGGATACTTTTAATTGTACGTGAAAATGATAAGACCAAGTACTCATTGTATTAAAGGCTCAATACCACTCTTGTTGTAACTGAATAATATGTTCCAATCTTTATACTGGTCAACAAATTGTACTATTTTACAATATTCCAATTAATTGATGATACAAATTTCATCTTAACACACCTAATTTAAAAAATTGGAAAAATTCAACTAAATGATTTGAAAAACATAACGTAAAGTTTTTCAAATGTGACTTGGATTTAAAAATATTTTTGAACCCTCTGGACAAGTAAAATAGGATTTAATGGATAATTTACACAACGGTTAGAACACTAACACATTTAGTACTTAGAATAAGGCTATTTTTTATTTTCTGGAGTTATTGTCCCTTTAATAGGCAGTTTTATCTCATCACTGTGTATAAATAATGGAGCCATGTAGCCCAGTAAGCTGTATAAATAATCGAGCCCAGTAAGCTGTATAAATAATGGAGCTATGTAGCCCAGTAAGGTGCTGGCTAACTAACCAACCAGGATGTTCCAAGAAAGATCTTTGGAATTTTCAGCCTGGTTTCTTCATGTCAAGTGTTCTTGAGCTGACGAGCTGAGGGCATGGCAAGGAACAGTGCATAGTCGTACGCATGCAACAAAAAACACTGCTGCCCAGGCAAAATATTCCATATAGCAAGATGCATAAGATTAGGATGTTAATCGGGTGACAACTTTAACCACAAGGCGACTGACGGGCCGTGATGACGTAAGCAATATGCGTGTACATGTACATGTAAGCAATACTTGTGTACATGTACATGTAAGCAATACTTGTGTACATGTAAGCAATACTTGTGTACATGTAAGCAATACCTGTGTACATGTAAGCAATACCTGTGTACATGTAAGCAATACTTGTGTACATGTAAGCAATACCTGTGCTGAATTAAGTTCTTGTATAACATCTTTATTTTCTTTATTGATATCACAGACACACATAAATTCTGCTTCCCGATAACCAGAGAAGAAACCATCGCGAATCTTCTGTACAACTGCATACGCAGATTTATATTTAGGTACATTTAGGTTTTCAATATCCCAGAATACACCAATAGGTAGTAGCTTATCACTCATGATGAAACGTTAACTGCAAGATAAAAAAGACAGAATAAAATAAAAACAAAATCGGTCTTAACCACAGCAGGTCATTTCTTATTTAACACAATCTGATTAAAACACAGATCCTATTTCATTTCGTTTTTATAGTTCAAAATTTCGTTTTACTTGTCTTTACTACACTAGGATCTGGAAGAGTTGATCATTGACGTGTTCTGAATGATCTAAGCTATTAGCCAATGAAACGGTCTGTTACGGCGAGCTTTAGGCGTGTTTTGCACGGAACTATGGGTAATGCACTAGTAACATCAATGCTGATTGGTTAATCAAATGTCTGACGTTATAGGGTCAAAAGCCGCTCGTGTGATCTCTGACGCGACCTATCGCTACAACCGGTCAGATCTTCATGTGGTGTAGGCTATCGAAAGTATAAAAAAAGGAACGCAATATAGATCTGTGTTTTAATCAGATTGTATTTAACAGAGAGAGAGAGAGAGGGTTTAACACCCACTCAACAAAAACCAGGTCATTTTGGGACTAACATATCACTCAATTTTATTTCAATAATTCACTTGGGCATAGAGGTCTTTAGCAGTGGGAGGAAACCGGAAGACCCGGAGAAAACCCACAAAGTTGGACAGACGACCTACTACTTGTCACATACAACCAGGGAATCAAAACCACGCCAGTTGACTCAATGACAGACCTTATGATACAGCACGCACATGCTAACCATTTGGCTATCCAATCCCCTTTTCTCATACAACACCAGTATCGAACACCACACCTTCTTTTTATGTCGCATTCACTGACCTACTGTGTCTTCTGATTCAAAAAGCATAAACAATGGCGGTGAAGGGAGTTTACTCACCTTTTAAAAGGGGTTAAAAGTGATGATAGCAGATAAAAGTTTAAAACAGGCAATGTGATGTTAAAATATAAAATAGTTGATTAAAATATAAAATTTCTTTCTTTTCTTCATTCCTTTTCTAGCCCCCCTTTTACGCCACTCTGAAAAATAAATCAGGAAAGAAATCACAATTAAGACAACAGGTACATTTCGTTGTGGAGGACCTGGCAAGGGACAATAAACCAAGGTTCTGTGTACATATTGGCGTGCACGTAAAAGACCCATTGGCAGTTAGAATTCGATACAAGAGTAGGCCGTAGTGCTGCTGTCTGGACAAAATTCCCCTCATAGCACGCTGTATGACATACGCCCATCTTCATTAGCCTGGTCAGAAGCAGAACACTACATGTAGGTCGTTAAACCCCATTTCAATTCATTTCATTTCGTTGTAAACCGACCATCAAAAGTCAAGTATAAATAAGCCTATGGAAAGATGGCCTCCGAAGTTCCAAAAATATAATATAGAAATAATAACTAATTTGAATCTAAATATCAAACAGCTTAACGAAATCCAAACAGAATTGAGAGTCTCATGAGTCATGTTTCTATCACTGAACTTGTACAAGTAGGGATATATTTCGTTCACATGGATTGTGGAACGTAAAATGTTGGTGACTCCAAATCTATAATAATGGATTCTACATGTACCACTGTGTTGAAATAATAGAAAGAATTTAAGGCTCTGCAGAGTCTGTAATATTTGAAACCAGTTTAAACGGAAGTATAAAATTGTTCTATAAAAAGTACGGATGTAACTTCTTACTGCACCAACTACATGTAATAGGGAACTTTCTTAGCGAACATTGGGATTGCACCTTGAATTGCCTGGACACGGAGTCACCGGGTAAACTGTTCTGCTCTGACTGGGCTAATGAAGACAGGCATGCGCCATACAGTGTGCTATGATGGAAATTTTGCCTGGACCATCACCACCAAAAGAAAACTTATTTACAGTTTAACATTCGCGACACCAGGATTAATGGAAAAATGATGCACATTTCTAAACTTACACTGCACGTGTTTGTCGGACGACAAACAATTTGACACATGGAGCCTATGTCAGATGAATATCCATGGCAACAGAAAATATTTTAACATATCTGACTACATGTATCTGTATCTGTCTGTATAGGCTAAGTAGAGGAAATTCTCTTAAACTTGGGCATAACATTTTACTTTGAAATATTACCACTAATCCACCGGTAGTATGTGTTTCCCAAATCTACCATTATTTCAACTCAAATAATAATAATTTATCTATATTTGATAATACATGTATACTGTTCTTTATGCAAAATTGGCATTTTTAATTTAAAATCAAAATTTTTATGTTTTTATGTTTGAAAATGCAATTTCCAAGCAATCGATTTCGTGCAATACACAAGTTATGTCCCATGGTTACAACTTCCAAACTTCTTGGAAATCTCATTTTGAGGGGGAATTTTGATACAAAAATTTTACGATTGAAAGAGCGTATATTATCATCAATTATCGATATAAAATATTGTGATATGATGACTTGTGACTTAAAACAATGGTGGATTTGGTTACAACTTCCAAACTTGCTTGATAATTGGATTTGGAGGAGCATTTGACACAAAACCGTTACGTATGTAAATTAGAAATGACAATTTGGCATAACGAATGGTATATTATCATATATCAATATTGCATACGTATTGGCTTTTAATAAACTAATTTGTAAATTGTAGAGCTCCATAATTTAATTAACGGTTTGTCATTCATAAAAATGATTCAGAGGGTTGGATTGATTTATGGTTGTCATTTATAAACCTAATACAGCAGGTTGGCCTAATTAATCTTTTTGACCTTGTTATTATGATATAATGTTAAATGTATGCTTACAATCCATGACCTAATTAAAATAAGTAGGCCTAATAACATTAAGGCTAAGACCCCAGTCGCGATTTCTTGAACTATTTTCATTTAAAAATCATGATTTACCTGTCCACAATAGAAGCACAAATAAATATGTTTCAACTAATGTCACTTGTTTTATTATGACCCAAATGAACAAAACGTTGCTGATGTCAGACATACATGTACATGGTGCAACAAGCTTATTTATTATGACGAAGATTCATGGAACAGCTGGGTTGTTGCAGACTTCAGGGTGAAACCCGCTCCCTTGTCCAGTCTTATAAAACCCATTTCAATTTGTTTATTTTTTGACGCACAAGTAAACCAACTCGTTTATCAAAATGTCGAACCAAATAAACAATGGCCATTTACCTTACATGGGGCTACATTTTATGGATATTTTCTTTATCCGAAATCCATGTTGACAAAATCAGAAAAGCGAAGAGAGAAAGCCTACCAGCAGCTTCCGGAAAAGGTTACGACAGACAAAATAGTTCTATAATTAATGCATGTTCGGCAAACAGATCACGCTCACAATTCTGAAAACTATTCAGATGTTATATTGAGGAAATTTAAAAAGTTGCCATACACACCAACAAAATATCAATTGGACTTAATTTCAGGTGTATGGATTTTCAAAGGGAGGTAACTCTTTAGTTCTCAGCGTTAAAGTAGTTCGTTTTTCTTTACCGTTATACTATAGAAAAACTTCTTTTACGGCCTGTAGTATTGTGCGCGTATAAAAATTTCGTATTGTTGTGAAATTTAAGAAATAAAAAAAAATATAATTTCATAAACAATGACTAGACCTGTTTCGTTTAATTAAAGATGCATTATGTAAGAGCTAAATTCTCTTATTGCAGATCTTTCTTTTGGCCCGAAATGTTATTTATAAACTAGGCCCATTAATAAAGTAGGCTACATTTATTCACATGCCAAGTCCATAACCAACTCTCTATTAGAACGTCAGATTTTGAACTGTTTGAAATACGGTCACCGTTTAATAATTTAAAGATACAAATGTATATAAATGTACACACTTTTTATATATCTTTTATCCATTTTTTATTATGTATTTTCATCCACTTTTATAATGTATTTATGATAGTGATTGTAATGTATAATTTACATGCTGTCCGAAAAGGGTATATCTATCTATCTATCTATCTATCTATCTATCTAAGGTTTAGAAAATGAGCTGATCGTTCTTCTTGTAATAGTACGGGTACCCAAATAGATAATTCAAAATTAATAGGCCTGTATTGAAAATTTCATTCAAATTACTTTATTCTGGGCCAAACTGGTTGAAGTTTTGACATCATATTGTTTATTATCGTAGCAAACGTTATTTGTTAATCGAGACTTCATTTTTTAATTAAATCATTAAATGGCAATCGTATTTTAATCCGTTTACATATGCGCCATCTGGTGGTCTAGATAATTATTATTATTATTTATTTTTATCATTACAGCATATTTATAGTGCGCCCTTACATATATCACGTTCATGGGCACTTTACAAAGTGACAATGTAGTCATAAATAAACAACAAGATTATGGACATGTTAACAGCATATTTATAGTGCGCCCTTACATATATCACGTTCATGGGCACTTTACAAAGTGACAAGTTAGTCATAAATAAACAACAAGATTATGGACATGTTAACGATTGTATATATATATTTTTAAAAAGAATATAGAGATGTACAACATCTTAAACTAAATGGTAAATTATTCCATAAAACAGGTGCTTGCATGATAACTAAAATAGCGTTTACCATTAAGATACTAGTTAACCAGCTTGGGACTTTAAGTAGTTTATCTGATGTACGTAATGTTAGGCCAGATGCACAGGCCAGGTGAACAGGAGCTAAATTATTTCAACATTTAAAAGTAAGTAATAAAATCTTAAAATCAATTCGATATTTAACACGTAACCAGTTTAAATTATATAAAACAGGAGTTATGTGGTCACATTTCTTACAGTTAAAATAACAAGTCTAGTCGTAGTTTTCTGTACTTTTTGTAATTTATCTATAAGCTTTAAAGGTAAACCAACTAAAAGTGAATTAAAATTATCTAATCGAGAAGTGACCAAAGAATTAACAAGTGACTTGGTGGCCTCTACAGTTACAAATTTACGTATTTTAACTATATTTCTGATATTAAAATTATTATTATTATTATTGAAAAATTTCTAAAGCGCATAGCTTCAACCGTTTGGTGCCCATAATGCGCTGTACACAATTAAAAGAGACATAAATAAGAACTACATATAAATAAAAGGGTAACAGAAAATGTAAAATAACGACAATTTACAAATAGCACAATTTACAAATATTATTTACTTGAGCTCCCATTAGCATAAAACTATCAAAGATAGCGCCAAAATTACGAGCAGAATAAGATGAAAATATATCACAAATTACCAGTTACCACAGGTGTGTGTGTGTGTGTGTGTGTGGGGGGGGGGGGGTATCATGTGCAAATTTACTTAATTGGTGCCTTGAGCCCATTAACAAATATTCGGTTTTATCATCATCAATTTTAGAAAGTTCTTTGACATCTATTTTCGAATTTCACTAATACGATTCTCAAGTTGCAATTTTGATAAATTGGAAGAAGATGGACAATTAGGTGTAAATGAGGCTTGTTATGTGAATAAATGTCTAAATAATAATTTATATAACATTTGAAGCCAACAAAAAAACCCAAAAACTGTATATAGGCAGCTTTACCTCTTACAGAATGCATCTTTAATTTAAAAAGTGGATAACCGAGACTTTGCTTAGTATAGTACCATTTGTAACGGGGACACCTCACTTTCCCCACATCTATTGTTTAGAGTCTAGGTCCACCCGGCCAAGACCAATTAACCAACAAAGGGGATTTAAAGCATAGTCTGTAACATTTGTTTATTTAAAGGCTTGGGACAGTGGCTCCGACGCATGTTTGCTGATTTTGCATTCCATTGGAGGGTTCGCACTATTTGTGTATATATGCTTGATAACGACTTGTGAAATCTTGGTGAAACGTGGTACTGAAATAAACCATAGTAATTGTTATCAATAAATAGTGTGTTATTTGATTATGTTCCAATTACTAAATGCCATTTAAAGAATATATTCGTAACAACTGTAGTAATGAAAATCGTGACTTCGCTATTATTCACTTATTTCATTATCTGTCTTTAAACTATTATATATCGAAAACTGTCAGCCCTTTATTTAAATCTTACACAATGTATCTCTAAGTTTGACTTGCTCTGTGAAGTAGGAATTCTTGTCCACGTTTAAAATTTTATGCAAAAGTAATCAAATATAGCTGATTCACAAACGACAAAATAATATTTTTAAAACCTGTACAATGGACTACCTTTTAAAGATACATTATGTAAGATTTAGATAAAGAACTAACCATTCTTGCTATAATAGTTCGAAAGTAGATGATGTAAAATGAATAATTTGAAAATTTTAGCCTTTGAAGGTTTGACAGACGTGTGCAATAGTTTCAACCACCGTACTGGTTGATCGAAGCTAAGTCTCGGTCCTCCATATTTGATTAAATCAAAGTATCGCTGAACCATTCTAATCTATTTAATATCGGAGAAATCTGATGCCATTGAGAGTTGATTAAGGCCTGGATCAGTTAATTAATGTCTAATTAATACTTTAGAAAACATTTCAGGCCTAAAGAAAGACCTGCAATAGGCAGATTTAGCTCTTGCATAATGCATGTTTAATTCCGACTGTTCGCGTATTTCACAGAACATAATTGATTATAAATTACAATAACAGTTTTAAAAATGTTATTGAATATAGCACAATTTAACTTCATTCAGAGTAAATTAAAGTAGCCAAGTCTCTAACTCAATATCATCCAAAATTTCAGCGCCATTTGTAACAAGGGACTCGAAGAACGAAGCTAGACATATTCCACGAGGCATGTCGAACGGTGAACATGCACAATAAATACTATCGATGAAGACTGGAAGTCTGTACCACCTAAACCTAATTGTGAATTGTTCAGCTGTGCCACAGGAATCATGAATGGCCACTGCTAGACATTTTTGGCGCTGGGGTACCCCTGACAGGCACCTTTAAAATGTCACGCCCCCCCCCCCCCAACCCAGATCGCTGCACGTCAGTTTCTGCGGTGGGGTACCTCTGACAGATCTCTCTAGAATGGAACATGTAATCCTGTGTATTTTCTACTGGGGGACCGCGAGATAATTACTTTTCTTCAACAGTTTAATTTTCATTGGACAACTTGTAGAATGCCAGGGAAAAAGTAACACTAATTGCTAAACTCTAAATATTTCAATACATTTGGTATAAGACAACTAACTAGCATTTCATTAACTCCGGGAGCCACGGCGGCTAAGTGGGTAAGACGCTGGCTCGCTAGTTTTGTGGTCGGGTGTTCAATCCCTGCATTGGCCGAGAAAGTCCATCCAGATTTTCATGCGTGGTTTCCCCTTGTCAGTGATGCAGGACGGAGGGCCTGACAAGGACAGCTGTCTAGTCATTCGGATGAGACGAAAAATAGAGGTCCCGTGTACACGTTGGCCTGCACGTAAAAGATCCCCTGACAGTTGGAATTCGGTATAAGAGTAGGCCGTAGCTGTCTAGACGCTCGGATGGGACAAAAACCCGAGGTCCCGTGTGCACATTGACGAGCACGTAAAATATCCCATGACATTTGGAATTCGATATAAGAGTAGGACGTAGAACACTGTATGTTGTATGCCCGTCGTCATTAACCCAGTTCGGAGCAGAGCAGTAGGACGTTAAACCCTATTTCATTTCATTACTTGATTAACTTTACTGGCGAGACGAGAAGGCATTTTATTTTTCAATTCACTAGACTTATGCTTGTGGTTGAGTATCTGTTTGGCCCGCGGTAGCCCAGTGAGTAAAACGTTGGCTCGCTTACCTGGACGTCCCATGTTCCATTCCGGTGTTGTCCAAGAGAATTCACCTGGATTTTTCGGCGTGGTTTCCCCTTCCCCGGATTGGGCGACAAACCGAGGTCCTGTGTACATATTAGCAGGCAAGTAAAAGATCCCTTGGCAGTTTGAATTCGATATAAGAGTAGGCCATAGCGCCGCTGTCCAGGCAAAATTTCCCATCATAGCACCCTGTATGGTTTACGCCCAGTCGGAGTAGAACAGTAGCACGTCAAATTTTATATTTCTTAAACTGTTATCACTGAATGCATAAGAATATGTTTTTAATATATTTCTGTAAATCCTTTGTTCGATCCATTTGAATGTATATATACCCCTTATTTTTTTAAAACTGGTTTCAATATATGGATAATCTGTTTCAATACATCTCGGTAATCCTCTGTTTGATCTTTTAACTCTATAATAAGCTAATCTACGATTATGTACCTTAATTCCATCAACAGCTTGTGACAGCTACTCATGTCCACCTTCCTTGCATACCATTGGATAGTTCGCACTGATGTT